GATAAGTGACAGCTTTTTGAATACAGTCTTCAATATTTTTATCCTTATTTGACATTGTGGTGAGTTATTAATTGATGAAGATGATGAAGATGATGAAATTGCAAGATTTTTATCATTTTGGTGTTTTTATTGTTTTGATGTGGCGCACCCACACGAGGTATGGGTTGCGCAGCGGCACGATTAGTAACTATATCAAATGCCTAAGAATCATGCTTTGGCAGGCATTACGATCCATTAGTTAATCTGAGTATCAGGGCAGATGAACATGGATAGATACCACGCGAATTCCATATCTGTTATCGATTCTCCGACATCCTCCAAGGAAAATTAGGCAGAGAAAATTGGCTGCTATATGTTCAGACCATCGGCACGAAGCAGCAAGCCTCCCCTAAGGGGTTAATTTTTACAACATAACTCCGAACAAATGCAAATGTCCTCTTCCTCTATGATTCGGGAAATGGCGGCTGAGGATGCCTATGTCTCTCTGCTATCGTACAAGAAGTTAACCAAGGGATAGACAATCCACATATGTCCTGTCGGTGATCGTAATTAGTCGCGCGGATCATGATTTGGGGAACCGAGCTTTTAATCAATCCATTTGGCAATATTGTCATGATTGTTATATAAGTCTCAGGGAAATTTCCCCCCTCCACTGGATGGACTGATCTCTGCAAAGGCCATGGAATTCTGTTCCAATCATTGCTGGCCCGACTGAGCATTGAAGCATTCAGTAAGTTCAGTTTCAACACTAGTAACTAACACTATTCTCTCGTGCTAGGTGGTATGTATATCTGATCGGTTAGTTGTTGCGGACGACAGTAGGAGTTTCTTGAAATATTCCAGTTACACACCCTCCATGACTGGTGGTAAGAAATAACTGCCTAGGTAGATGCATCAGAGGACATCTATTCATACTAGTTGCTGTCGATTGTTTAGTAAACTATAATGTGTAGAGGAATTGACGTGGAGAATTGTACTGTCTCCGAGCCTCAGACATGGGATTAATAAAGCCAAGCAAGCAAGCCTTTTGATTTTTCCCGTCAATGCAAAAAATTATGGTCCAACATAGACGCGTGCGCAACGCCCATCCTAGCTGCGGGCTTGGGGCGTAACTTGGATTGGCCCGAAGGAATTCTTTAATTAGCTAGGCCTGCGCCGACGAAAGCTTGTTCCGGGTTTCAGGGTTTCAACCTCACCAGGTCTCGGAACCATTTCGACCAACCCTCAAAAACCACCTCACCTGGGACTCCGCAAACCACAACCATCACCATCACCATCACCATCACCACCACCACCACCTCCTCCTCCTCCTCCTCCTCCTCCTCCTCCCTTCTCAGCTCACACTTCCGCTGAGCATGAGCACTACAACCCTCATCAACACGGCGCAGCGTTCGACTCTGCTGTCGCCAATCCTGCAACTCCCAATACCCTCCACCATGCCCTCCTCCTCCACCTCCGTTGCCGCTTCCGTATCCCAACAATCCCCCCTAGACAAATTCCCGGTCTTCGAAGACGAACCCTCCATCTCTACTCCATCCTCCACAACTACATACCAAACCCCCTTCAACGACAACCTCGCCTCATTCCCTTCCCACCTGTCGCAGCCTCTGCGCAGTTCGCATCACCAACAGCAACAGCAGCAATACCAGCTGCCCAGATGGGCGCCACGGAAACATCCCTCCATCCTCTCCATTGACACCAACTCCAGCACCGGTTCCAAGCAGCGTCCGCGGAAAAGTATCAGTGAGGCCATTGGCGGCTTTAGGAATCGGGGGACGAGCGTCAGTGCCAATGCGCAGGAGTTGGCGGAGGCGTTGAAGGCGCCTGTTTCGTACAAGCTCATCGTATGTACCCTCACTCGCAATACCCGTTACCTTTAGATGAGAGCAAAGGGGAAGAAATTAAGTAACTAAATATTATTCGTCATGACTCTTTCTAATCTAGGTCCTCTGCATAATCTGGTACACCACCTCTGCGCTAACAAACACCTCCTCAAAATCCATCCTAACAACCCTCCCAAAACCCATAACCCTAACCATAATCCAATTCGCCTTCGTCTCCTTCTGGTGCTTCATCCTCGCCAGCCTAGCCTCTATCTTCCCCTCCCTCCGCCACGCCGTTCCCCCGCTGAAAAATGGCCTCCGCAAACCCTCCCGCATCGTCATCAAGACCGCTCTGCCTCTCGCCATCTTCTCGCTCCTAGGCCACATCCTCAGCTCGATGGCCACGTCACAAATCCCCGTTTCGCTCGTTCATACTATCAAGGGACTATCGCCACTATTCACAGTGGTGGCATACCGCTGCATCTTCCGCATCAAGTACGCGATGGCGACGTATCTATCCCTTATCCCGCTGACGGCGGGCGTGATGCTGGCATGCTCATCGGGCTTCAGCACGAACCTTCTAGGAATCCTCTGTGCCTTCTCCGCTGCCATCGTCTTCGTGTCGCAGAACATCTTCTCCAAGAAACTGTTCAATAAAGCTGCCCGTGCGGAGGCGGATGACCACCATTATTACAGGAACAAGAACACATCCGCAAACCTCGACAAGCTAAATCTCCTCTACTACTGTGCCGCCCTCGCCTTCCTCCTTACCCTCCCCATCTGGTTCGTGTCGGAAGGCTACACCCTCCTTTCCGACCTGCTGCGCACCGGCACCATCCCTCTCCCCACCAACAGCAAATCATCCTCCACCAAACCCCTCGAGACCGGGCCCCTCCTCCTCCAATTCCTCTTCAACGGCCTTTCCCACTTCGCCCAAAACATATTCGCCTTCTCCATTCTCTCCATGGTCTCCCCGGTCTCATACTCCGTCGCCTCGCTGCTTAAACGTGTCGTCGTCATCGTCGCAACGATCGTCTGGTTCGGCAGCCCGACGAACCCGGTGCAGGCCATCGGCATTGGACTGACGTTTTTGGGTCTGTATCTTTATGATCGGAATAGTCATGACGATGCAGCGGATCGGAGGGCGAGGGATGATCGGTTTCATGGTGGTGATTTTGGGGGTGCGGGGAAGAAGTCGCCGCTTTTGCCACTTAGTAATGCCGCTGGCGTTGGTAGTGTTGGCGTTGGTTCTACTGCTAATGGAGGCAAAGCCTGGGACTCGAATGGGTATTCGTTCCCCATGATGGGGTCGAGAAGGGGGGAGCATCCGGCTGCGAAGGCACCGCCGGTTAGTAATGTGACGAAGAAGGATGATGGCGATGTGCACTGGCATGCGAAGAAGGTTGATGGGGCTGGTGCTGGTGCCGGTGCCGGTGCTGGTGCTGGGTGCTGGTGCTGGTGCTGGCTGGCTGCTGCCGGGGACGAAGCAGGAGTCTACGTGGAAGGAGGGGGATTCGAGGGCGTTGAGTTAGGTGTTTTATCTTTTTTTCTTTATTTTTTTATTTCCTATTTTCCCCTCCTTAACTTGCCAGATATAGCTATTGTTGTTTGCCTATCTTGATAATCTTCTGTGGTTGGGAAGGGATTTTTATAGGCGGAAGAAGGGATGAATCGGGGTGTTTTTGGTGATTTGTTCTATTGTTCTCCTTCGTCCTCTCCTCCGCTCCGCCTTCCATCCCTCCTCCGCACATGAACTGAAACACGGCTCCGTGTTTTAATTCTTTTGTATTTTGCTGTTTCTCTCTCTCTCTTTCTCTCTCTCTCTCTCTCTCTCTCTCTCTCTCTCTCTCTCTCTCTCTCTCTCTCTCTCTCTCTCTCAAAAGTGATAAAAGGGACAACGGAGTTTTTATGTTTCTGTTACTTGTACAGTTCTTTACCCCTTTTTGACTTTCACTGCTTCTTTCTGCTACTTCTACTTACTATATACGTGGGATGAATCCTAGATAGGTATGGGTGGTTTATATCTTCCTGTTTTTTTATTTTGAACTATCTTTTTCTCTTCCAGATTTCTTTGTGCCTTTTGTATTGTACTTTGTACAGTGCCTTAATACACTTTCGCCTGTTTGTTCAGTCCCGCCGTGCTGTGTGAAAACGGGATGGGACGGATTGGAAGTGAAATTCTTCGACGACTGTACACATTTCCTTGGCTTGAGAAGGGGGAGGAGAGATAATGAGAAATTTCTGAATGCAACATTCTACACCAATTTTTCTCTCTGCTTAATTTCACAACGCACAGCACATAGAATTTTTCAATATTTATTCTTCAAGACTTGGGAATCTACTGTTTCTTTGTCCCACTTGGATCCTATGAGCTGTGCTATGTTCCAATTCTATTTGACAGTTTGCCAGACAGATACATCTATCAACTCCTAGCAAAGCCTTCTCCGCACAAGCCCGTATCACGATGTAAATCAACATAGCCTCTCCTTCACCAACCAACAGCAAACCATCCATCCCAGAAATATGCAGAGCAATGCAATGTATGTAGCAACCGTCGGTAAGGAACAAAGTAACCCTCAGGGGGCCCAAGCGAGACCCTAAGCCGCTCCAGCTACGGCGCCGAAAAACATTCCATTTTTCCTGTAAAAGCAAAAAGAGAAAATATTTTAATCTCTCTGGGAGCATAGTGTAGAGGAAGAAGGGTGCGGGCATTGAATATACTTCATATATATATATATATATAGAGTATAGTCAAGATCCCTCCCTCCTACAATAAATCATGTCCGTGAATGAGTTTAATTGAGAAAGAAAAGAGAAATAGAAGAGAAGAAAGAGGAAGAAGAGTAACGGAATAGAGGTTTGGAGTGTGGAATAACAGTTCTTCCGGGATATGTAGCTAGCAAATATCAGCTGACCTAGCCAATCAGCGGCGGTCATTATGCGTTACTAAGCGTGCTAGTAGCCCCAAACAACCACAGACAAAAGAGGAACATACCGAGCTCATCTCATGCCTACTACAACACTCCAAACCAAAACCCCCATTGATCCGTCCCTCTTCCACGGGGCCCAATCCTATAATATCCCCTATCCAATTCGCTGCTCAATTCGCTCTTTCCACCCCCTTTTGTTCTGCAATTGGTCCTCGAGAGCTGGTGCGTGGTTTTGGTCCCGCTGGCAATGATCCGGTCGCTGTACCTCCGTGCGGCGGCACGGGCGAGGAGAAGGGTTCAGTTCGGGAGGGTTGGGTTTAGATGTGTTTCTGGGAAGAGGGGGTTTTCGAGTACGGGAGAGAGGAGGGCGGAGGTTGAGCTTACTATTGGTATGTTTTTGTTGGGCTTGGTTGAAGGAGGAGGGGTGGAGGTGGAGGTGGAGGTGGAGAGTGACGGGGAACAGGGAACGGGGGAGGATGGGTTGTGATATTTAAGAATTGAATTGGTTATAGATTTTATGGATTGACTGGCTGACTTGTGTTTTTGATTTGTAGATGGGAAGAAGGTTTCGATTGAAGGTTAGTGCGCTTGGATATGTTCCGGATGAATTCAGTGGATAATATATTACTTTTGGTGATGGGTATGTGGAATTGCTTGGTTTGCTGATGGCGGTTGGGACATGCAGCTGGTTCCGCTTTAATTCAAGCTTGTGAGAAGGCTGGCGTTACAATTCCAAGGTAGGTTCAAAAGAATCTTTGGATGTGTTTTTCTTCGTTAACTGACTGGCTGGATCTCCGCAGATATTGCTATCACGAGTAAGTTTTAGTTTTTGAACGCAATTTTTCTTTTACCACAGGATGAAAATTGGATTGTTAAGTAAATTTCCAGGAAACTATTGATTGCAGGAAACTGTGGGTCCTCCCCTCACTCTCCACAGCCGTTGTGTTCAATAAATGCAATGCTAACCTTCACCAGGCCGAATGTGTTTAGTCGAGGTCGAACGAGCTCCCAAACCGGTAGCATCATGTGCATGGCCAGTCCAGCCGGGAATGGTCGTCAAGACAAACTCCCCCATCACACACAAAGCAAGAGAAGGCGTCATGGAATTCCTTCTCGCAAACCACCCCCTGGACTGCCCAATCTGCGACCAGGGCGGAGAATGCGATCTGCAAGATCAGTCGATGAGATATGGTGCTGACCGTGGTCGGTTCCACGAGATAGGCGGCAAACGCGCCGTGGAGGACAAGAATATTGGACCCTTGATCAAGACCTCGATGAACAGATGCATCCACTGCACACGCTGCGTTCGATTTGCCAATGACATTGCTGGTGCCCCTGAGCTGGGAACGACGGGCCGAGGAAACGAGATGCAGATCGGCACGTATTTGGAAAAGAATTTGGATTCGGAATTATCTGGCAACGTTATCGATTTGTGTCCTGTTGGTGCATTGACGTCGAAACCATATGCCTTCCGCGCACGACCATGGGAGTTGCAACATACGGAATCCATCGATGTGCTGGACGCCCTTGGATCGAATATCCGAATCGACGCCCGCGGAATGGAAGTCATGCGCATCCTCCCCAGGTTAAACGACGACGTCAACGAGGAATGGATCAACGACAAAACCCGCTTCGCCTGCGACGGCCTGCGCACCCAACGCCTTACCACCCCACTAATCCGCCGCGACAACAAATTCCACCCCGTAACCTGGGAACAAGCCCTGACTGAAATCGGCAACGTCTTCCGCACCCTCTCCCTGCAAGCCAACGAATTCAAAGCCGTAGCTGGCCACCTCATCGAAACCGAATCCCTCGTCGCCATGAAAGATCTCGCGAACAGGCTCAACTCCGACAACCTGGCCCTCGACCAGCCCAACGGCAACCTCCCGCTCGCCCACGGCATAGACGTCCGCTCAAACTACCTCTTCAATTCCAAAATCTACGGCATCGAAGAAGCAGACGCCATCCTCCTCATCGCGACGAATCCGCGCCACGAAGCCGCTGTCCTCAACGCCCGCATCCGCAAACAGTTCCTCCGCACAGACCTGCAGGTCGCCCTCATCGGCGAGGAATTCGACAGCACCTTCGCCTACAAACACCTCGGCAACTCTCTCAGGGACCTCAAGGCCGCGCTCGCGGGTGCCTTCGGCAAGACCCTGGCCTCCGCCAAGCGGCCGATGATCATCCTTGGCTCCGCCGCGGCCGAGCACCCCGATGCGCGCGCCATCTTCGAAACGGTTGGCTCCTTCGTCGATAAGAATGCAGCTACCTTCCTCACTCCGGAATGGACGGGATATAACGTGCTGCAGCGTGCCGCGTCGCGCGCCGGCGCATATGAAGTCGGCTTCACCACGCCCTCTCCCGCTATCGCAAACGTGACACCGAAGATAATCTGGCTGCTGGGCGCGGATGAGATATCCGAGTCCGACATCCCCAAGTCTGCCTTCGTGATCTACCAGGGTCACCATGGGGATCGGGGTGCTACGCTTGCGGACGTGGTGTTGCCGGGGACAGCGTATACAGAGAAGTCGGGGACGTATGTTAATACCGAAGGACGGGTGCAAATAACGCGGGCGGCGGTTAGTGCGCCAGGGGCGGCGAGGGAGGATTGGAAGATTATTCGGGCTGCGAGTGAATACTTGGGGGTACCGTTGGCGTATGATGATGTGGAGATGTTGAGGGATCGGATGGAGATGGTTAGTCCGGTTCTTAGGAGGTATGATGTTGTTGATGGGGTGTCGGGGGTGGTGGGGGCGTTGGGGAGGGTACAGCTTGTTAATGGGAATAGAGATGGGGGGAGGAGTGGGGAGGTGAGGAGTGGGAAGAGTGGGGATGGGTTTAGAAGGGTTGTGGAGGATTTTTATTTTACGGATGTTATTTCGAGGAGGTATGTTGAGAGAGATTTCTGTGGTCTCCTTTTCCCCTTTTAATTTGTAAGTGTGTATTACGGTGCTAATTTTGAAATAATAGCTCCCCAACGATGGCCCGCTGCTCCGCGGCCAAGAGGACGGGAAATCCAGATACTAATTTCATGATCGGAAGTGCAGTGGAGGAACAGGAGCGTATGAGCGGTGCATCAAGCGCTTAAAATAGCCGGCTTATTATTATTTTTTCTTTTCATTCTTGTATTTACGTTTCTTTCCTTTTCTCAACATTAAAAATGACCCTTCTGGTTAGCATTTCTCTATCTCTTTTCTCACTCTTTTCTTCTCTTTTCCGTTCTGTTCTACATTTGTGACTTTTCATGTCAGTGATATAGTTCCTCGTTTTTCCGTCACGCGAGGTTTTCGTCTGTGTCTTTCTCCTCTCTCTTCTTTCCTGTTCCTTGTGCCTGAACCGTTTCCCTTGCTGTTCTAATGTGTATAAGAAGTCCATGTGATATAACATGTACTTGTATATTCAAAAGGAAAAGGTGGAGAAGCATATTAATCCATGATGGATTAAAGAAAGAGTGGGTCAGAGAAAGCGGCAAGCGGAGCAGGAAACCCGAAAACAACATTTCCCAAACAGTATGGCGATGGAAGGGAAGCTTAGCGTAACTAGACATTCGAAGAAAACTTGGCAAAAGGGGCAAATGTTTGTTTGTGTGGTTAGTAGTTGGTTGGTGCCATCATTATAGGGTTGGTTGGGTGGAATGGACGTATCTAGGTAAATTCCTAAAAGATAGATAAAGAGGCTGATTGGCAAGTTAGAACCGACATCAAGCAATGTCAGTAATATTAAAATATACCTCTACGGATAATTATGTGGCAGAGATGCTATTTCACAAACAGAAGGCCTTGACTATTCGTTGCTCAACCCAGCCCCTGAAAAGAACAAGGAACATTATATCCTATACCCCTTACCTGTTCCACTCACGGGTGGATACAACTTCACAGATAACATAATTCATACCATACCAACAAGTTGAGGGATGTTCGGGGGCATCTAGGTGTATGCTATGAGGCAACTGTGATTGAGATTGAGACTGAGGGGATGGTAGGATTTGCAGAGGACGGGGTGGAGAAAAGGTTGCTTGTGCGGAGATTGTATGGAAGGTGAAAAATTATATGTAAAAGCCTTTTCGTTAAGAGAAGGAAATGAAGTTTGAAATTGAATTGAGCGTCCGGACGTTGTAGGTCTTGGTTAAAGGAGGGAGGCCGGGGACGGGTGGCGGAGTATGAGATCAGGTTTTATGTGTGCATTTGTTTTGCTGGTGGGTTGGGAGTGAGAGTAAGCTCTTTTCTCCTTTATGCTGCGTGTGCTAGTTATCTATCTGCATCTGGGCATTGCGAGGATTGCGGGGGAGGGAAGTGGGGATCGTGTGTAGTCTTGAAGGATTGGAGGTTGTATTTCAAATGGAGTACAGGGGTGAAATGGATTTCGAAACAAGCAGTGAGAGCGGAGGAGCAATGGAATGGATTATATATTGTAGTTGTCTCCCAGAGAAGGGGAGAGAGAGTTGAGCGTATCCTGTAAACATCATTTCCTCCCAGCAAAACCACGATTTTAAAATCATATCTTCTCATATCAAGACACTGAACAAGTGAACTCCCCTGGGAAAGGGGAGGGGGGAATGCTATTATCCATTTCTGGTATAATATCCATCCTAACCACCACCATCCCTCCCCTTTCATCCAATAACAGATATCAAAAAGAAAAGGAAAATTAACAGCCATACGTCGGAGGCGGAGGCATGGGCAGCTCATGCATGCAGTTCATGTCATCTCCCGAAGACTCAAAGCACTGTTCATGTCCGGCGCACCATCAATGGATGCAATGTAGATACTGGTATAGATAGAGATGTAGATGTAGATAGTCTCACTAACACACCCCCAGAACCACGAATCCACGTTACATTTTCCTTCGTCCAGGTCCTCTCAAACCTCGGTACAGTGCATACGTCCTAAATCCTGGAAAATTCCCTAATGGACATGGGAAGCGGGAAGTGTTAAACGGCCCGTGCTGGCTACACCACTTGCATAGCCCATCACATCACAGTTCATCATCCTCATCTTCATCCTCATCCCGGGAAGGCATAGGCGCCTTCCCACGCCCCATCCTCCTCGTAAACGGCAACTCCCGACGCGGGGGGGGGCTTGCCATCGGCTCTCTAGCCGTCCTCGTCGTCGGTGATGATGCCACGGGCTGCTTCGACGATGCACACGCGCCTCGCTTCCTGTCATCTCTCGCAGCTGTGGCTGCCGGCGCTGCTGGTGCTGGAGGTGATTGTGACGCATCCATTTCATCTTCCGTGGCAGTTTCCTCATCCTCGTCTTCGAGGGGGTCAGGGGTATCTTGGCGCTCTGAGGTGGACGAGAGGTCGTCTTCGGCGTCGGGGTTAGCGGCGGAGGTGTCATTTGTATTATTATTATTATTATTATTATTATTGTTGTTGTTGTTGTTGTTGTTGTTGTTGTTGTTGTTGTTGTTGTTGTTGTTGTTATTGCTGTTGTTTGTGGTGGTGGTGGTGGTGGTGGTGGTGGTGGATTTGTTGGTTGCTGGGTTTTCAACCTGATCTACGTCCATGGTATCAAAGCCATCCACGCTTTCAGATGAGATGGACGGTTCAGGCGCCTTTCGCTTGGGATGGCGTTGTCTAACACGGGATTCTGTGGAGGGTGCATATCGAAGATTAGCAGGGTGGATATTTATCGAACATATCCAAAACTTGCAAAATAATTTCAGAAGAATATGAACTGCACCTTTACCCCCATCAACCTTCACCATCGCCAACAGCCGCTGCTGATTCCTAATCTTCAGTTTCTTCTCATTGAGCAACTGGGCGAACTTGGCGATGAGCTGATCATCATGCTCCGCTTTCTCCTTGATTAGCTCCTGCAGCTGTGCGTTGAGTTTACTAATGGTGCTCTCGGCGGCAGTGTATTTGGCCGTTAGAGAGAGGAGCTGGTTCTCGAGTTCATCTGCTCTGGATATGGCGATGCCGGTCCAGTCGAAAAGCTGGATGGCTTGATCGTCATCTCGTTTGAGGGTTATCGTTCCTAGTCTTTGCTGAAGGGGATGGAGGGTGGGTTGTTAGGAAGTATTCTGAAATTCAAAGCAAATAGAAGGTGAAGAAGTGACGGGGATATATAGTTTTTTTTTTATATACCGTAATTGTATCAATCCTCTTCATCAGCGTAATAACAATCTCATTCCTGCTCTCATCATCCTCATCCTGCTTCACAGCCGCCACGACCTTCAATCCGGCCTTATACTCCTCGGGCACTGAGGTTGACTGTCTCTGCCCAAGCACATACGCAAGAATGCCCGTCCACTCATCGTCATCGCCATGATAATTTTTGGCACGAAGTTTGTTTACTCGCACGGATTTTACTGCAGTAATGGCATTAGCTGGGGAATATTGCAATTCCCTAGGGGATGGGTATATTGTATACAGACCTGAGGCTCTGTACGGGGCTTCCCCTTCTGTGGCGACGAGCTTTAGATCGAGGTCCTCAATTCCCGGCCTAGTTACGTGGACCAAGATGTAATCGCCGGGACTGTCGCTGCGCTTGATGCGCAGGAGGTTTTGGTTGGGCATTTTCGTTGGATTACCAATATTTCATAAAGGTGTGAGGTCTACAAATGTAATAACCAGCATTGAATATTCCATGTCCAAATGCCCAATGTTCAAATATGTTCGTTAGCTTCGGCTTATTGTTGAAGGCAGCAGCAACAGCAGTGATGTAATTAATTACCCCATATATGTAATGGTATTGTCATTACAACAATGGATACTGTATTGCAACATAGACACGTGACAGCAGGCTCGGCTACCCCGGGAGACGCGTTGCTGCCACGCGCCAGGGTTTCGCTTAGCGCACCACATCGGGCTTGGCGCCTAAGCGCGTTGAACTCCGGGCTTGGCCCCAACCTCCTTAGTCAGGGATAAGCCAAAACGACGACGACGACAACCGCAGAGTGGAAGAGGAGAGGAGAGAGTTAGGGTAAACGGGACATCGACACTACCTCGCTATATACACGGAGAGCTTACGGCGAGTATACTTCTGGTATACTGCTGGTGAACTGCAGGTGTACTGCTGGCGGACCCTCTCCTACACCACTCCCTGCGAACATCCTCTCTCTCCTCAACGTCCGCCTCGCAACTATTTCGATCTCATCTATATCCAGCTGTCTTCTTCCATTGCCCAATTATCCCAGTTCAGCTGCAGTCCCAGTCTCAGGACGAGTTCCTACAAAAAGCACAATCTGCTCCAGGCCCCTGTATAACCTATTTATCTCTACCTGAGTAAAGCTTGCCTTGCTGGGCACTTATTTACCCTTCTACTCTCTCACTCACTCACTCACTCACTCACTCTCACACACGCGCGCACACACACACTCTCTCTATCTATCTCTATCTCTATGGGTAGAGCCAGATCGAGAAGTTGAGAATATTCGACTATCGCATGTTACAACACATTCGAAAAGTACAAGTAGTGCAAAATTTACGCATATAACATTTTTAAGATCCATCTTATTATAAAACTTTATTTGCTCATCAAACCCACCATTGCTTGCAAGCTTGCTTCAGCTCCAGCCAACCCTCAGATTTACACCATCCACCCACCGAAAATCTCATTCACAAACAGATGAGATTCCAAATGCGGAATGACTTTCTCTTTCTCCCTCGCCTCTGTCTGTTGTCAAGGTCCAACGTCATCAGAATTCACCATCGAAAGCGAGAAGCGTCACCCAAACTATCTTCTAAGATAAGATAAAGGAAAAAAAAGTTATATAGATTAGACAGTCCGAACAGGTCCTGAATACATAAGGCTACTTGGAAGCTACGGAAGGAAGGGTAGCCAGCCAGGCTGGGAAAAAGTACCAACTCAGCTCGGCACAGCAGCAATGGAGACATCTTCTCCACTGAGGCTGCGCCAAACTCGAGAAGCAGAAGAATCCATTGAATGCTGGGATGACGACGAAGATCTACAATGTAACGATGACATCCAGTTTCGTACCGTTTCAGCCGGCACCTCTGTGGCAGGGTCATCCTCCCTCCGGCAATCCGGCCATCGTGACTCCTTCTCCTCTCGCCGTTCCTGCAGGTCGGATCTGGACTCCAATGGAGGCGAAGAGGAGAATTGGCAGCTCCTGTTACATGACAATGATGAGGGTGCGATGAAGGATGCTATCGCGTCAGCAAAGAGCGCTGGTATTCCACTTCCTGCCAATGTTCCCCGTTCGGCTTTGCTTGGCGGGACAATCAAACGACTTGGGGGCAGGAAGATTAAAAGGGCTATTGGAGATGATTGGTCAGAAGACCTCGAATTTCCTGGCGTGGAGGGGGACCTTGAGCTGAAACTGAATCACAAAGAAGCATTTCCAGATTCGCTACTACTTCTTGGCTCATTTCCTGAATCTAGCCCCTCTAAATTCCCAGATCCGGATCCGTTTCTTTCTGATAGCGCAAGTCCTTACCCGCAACGAATATCATCCTCCAATGTTACCAACTTGGAACAATTTCGTGATACGAATGATGACAGTTCCTTCCATGATGTTCCCACTATCAAGATCGCGAAATCACGGTCGCAGCAGACTGTTCTCGCCAAATTTGCAAAGAAACCAAGCGAAGAGGATGACAATTTCGAGGCTGATCTGGAGTTCCCCACTAATTGCGAAACTCTGAAACTGTCAGGAAGAAAGGATAGGGTCAAATCCCCAGAACCCTCGCTTGATGACTTCGATGCTGAATGGGCGGAGGGAAGTATTGGAGTGCGTTTTGGTGGGACGAAAAGGGAAGGATTGTCCAATCGTAGTTCCACCGTCTCAGCAATGAGCCCAAGCCCTTCTAGTTGCCTGACAGCTGGAAGTGATGACGGCCTTGATGGCCTACTTTTACCGGATGGGCCGCTGGACCTTGACCAGGCTATCAAGAAAAGACAGCAATCTCAGTTGTCACATTCACCCCCAACTTCTGTGCCAAAGCAGCAGGGTCCAAATCTGGTGCCTCCGCCAAACGATGACTTCTTTTCAGGAATCGAAATTGGCGACGGTGAGGTTTTTGACTCGGGCAAACTGACCTTAAACCGCAATATTATATGCAAAACTACCAGGCCAATAAGCCCCGCAAGACGCACCGCAACCAGCATAACTTTCACAAATAAGCCCCCAGCACCCCCGACTACTCGTATTCCTAGATTATCTTGCCATGAGCGTCCTCATTCTACACAGCTTGAGCCCGTCTCAGAGAGCGGCGCGCCTCTTCCCAAATATCGAAGGCCTCACTCACGTTTGAGTGGTCACAGCGCTCATTCGTCTCTGTCGAATATCTCCAGCCCACCAGCCATGTCCCCACCTTCAATGACTCCAAAGACTCCAAGTCGTAGATCTCCTGGAAATAGGAACTCAGTTGATAATACGATACGAGGTGTACCGACGACTACCACTTCCCAGCTGCTGAAGGCGAAACGATCCGCGCCAGCGTTACGCAACGTCCATCAAGCCGGAATAGCACCTCCGATTCCACGGACCCCATCCCGCCAAGATGGGGCCATTGTCAGACCCCTGCCCTCATCTCGCCCTAAAACACCAACCGCTGAACCTCGACTTCCCACCGGTCGTCGACCCCCCATCCCCTTCCTCCCACCCGGAGCTTCACAAAATCAGTCTCACCATGTAAACGTTAAAACCCCACGTCACTACCGACGTACTGACTCCGACAGCTCGAGCGACCCCTTCTCACACCCCCGCTCAACATCCCGCCTCTCAAATTCAAACCAAGACCGCCCCGAGGCCCCCGGCCGCAACACATTCCACTTCAACCTCGCCCCCGCCGACACTCTCCCCGCAACCGTAAAGCAAGCAATCACAAAACCCAACCGCCGCCGCAACTTCGGTGACGGCTCCGAGCTAGACATCTTCGACGACCTCCCCACCTCCGCCTCCCACGAGAGCAAATTCGTCAAACACCCCATCCGCTACGGCGCGCCGCGCTCCGTGCGCTCTAGACTCAGCCAGCCAAACATCGTGCCCCCTCTTATGCCTATGGTGCAGAATAACAATCCTGTTCCCAGGCCTCATACGAGTCCCTCGAAGCAGGAGTTTACGCCTAGATTTGCGCGTGATACGAATGCGTCGAGGAATGCGCGGGAGCAGAGGATTGCGTCGTCGGGGTTTGCTGCGGCGCAGAGTCGGGACGTTACGACGTTAGGTCTGTTTAGCACGAATTTAAAGTCTCCAGCGGCGGTGGCGGGATCGGGAATGGCGACCACGGCCACGACTGCTGTGCGACAGCCGCCGTCGTTTGGTGTGGTTAGGAATAGGCGGGTGAGGGGGTCTGGGGATGTCAAGCCGCATCTTATAAAACCGTTGGGTACGGGGGTGCAGGAGGCGAAATGTAAGTTGCTTATCCGCAGTCTACATCTCTAATTTTATAGCGTCATATAACCTTCGCTGCTGTCTGCATAATTTCGCATAAAGCTTACACACCATGATGTTCTAGTTGTCAAGGGCATGCGCTACAATCCGACAACCTACAAATGGGAAGGCAACGAAAATGCAACTCTAGACTTTGAACCCGTCCCCTTCCCCTCCCCCACCCGCAGTCACACCCACACTCACAAACAAAACTACAATTTTTCAAAACCCAAATCCCCCAAACCATCCCCCGCCCTGATCACAAACATAAACTCCACTGGCGTCCAAGTCGTCGGCGGCATGGCCTTTGACCCCCACCGCATGTGCTGGCTAAAAATCAACGCCTCTGCCACCCAATCCTGCAAGGGCAACCTCACCCTTGCGCCTGACGAGGAAGAATTGCTTCACGGCCTGGATGATTTGGAGGATAAACTTAAAACTAAATCCAAACCGAGTAATACTGCCGCGGGTGCGCAGGAGGCGCTGCTGGATGCTATTGGAATTGGGAGTGCAGGGGTAGAGGATAAGAGCGGCGGGAGTGGCGGGGAGTCTTCGGATGAGTGGCCGATTACGGAGGAGTTTGATGTGGGGCCTGAGTTTATTAGGAGGCAGAGGGCGGAGGAGGAGAAGTGGAGGCGGAAGGTTGGGAAGTGGGTTTGTGCTGAGAGGGAGGGGGTGGGGGAGGGGTGGAGATGGGCGATTCGCGATTTGGTGAGGGCTGAGACGGCGGTTGGTGGTGGTGGTGGGCAGCAGCAGCAACAACATCAGGTTGGGAGTGGGTGATTGTGCGTATGTTGATTTTTTTTTTTTTTTTCTTCTTTCTTTCTTGGAATAATCCCCCTTTATATAACAATTTGTTATTCCATTTTTTGTCCTCGTTTGCGGATATTAGTCTGCGGGTATTGTTGATAGATGTTGAACGAACGGCGTTTACCTCCTTTCCCCCCCCCTTTCCCCTTTTCTTCTTCTCCCTTTTTTTCCCTTCTGTTAATAGCCCACCCCCCTGAAAACCCTCCGAGAGAAGAATGGCTCTAGCCAGCTATATCTCTATAGTAGCACGGGTTCATTTTCAACTGTGGGATCCTCTCTGTGTGTCTCTGTTTATCTTATTCCCTTGACTCCCTCGTTTTCCTTCCGCCTTTGGTTACGATGGACATTTTTACGACGAACATGCCGCCACGATTTTTTCCAGGGTATAATATGATGATTGATTTACATATCACATCATAGCGTGCACCCTTCATGACTTGATGATCTACGCCCCATCCACCCAACTCAAAAACTCCAAGCACCGAAACAAGAAAAGTTGTACCCTGTTTTTGATAATTGTATATTATCTATTTTATGTTATACACCCATGCATCCACCATGCGCATATAATCCCCTAATGAATTTTACATTGTCATCATATATTGTTTTCCTTGTTGGTTTGTTGATATCTTTTTCCTGTCCTGCTTTTGCCTTTACTTTTGAATTTATCATTGCTATTGTTATCGCTGTTCTCTATCTGTCATTATTATTGCTTCCCACCCCCTTTACTTCATTACTTCAATGCGTGTATTCTGTGTTGTATATAGTAGCCCTTTTAACTACGTATCCAATTCGCTTATTAAAATATCCTCTTTCCACTTCTGGCCTGGGTTTATTCCAACAGAGCCTTCAGATGTATGTTCTATACATCTCCGCTACTTCCCATTCCCCCTCCCCCTTCTACGTTTACTAGTCAATGACGTACATCAGCGAGTTATCCATCTCCATTACGGTGCATGGCGTATGGACTGTGGTTGGTGCTGTGTGTATCTCAACGCGCTCGCTGGACGCATGCTGGGGCTGTCTTGAATTTCCCGATGTGACAACTACTTCATGACCCAGGAAACAAAATCACACATTGATCTCTAAATACCTAGCTAGGCATTTAGATTTACCAAAACCCACCCCTCTTTGAGTTAGCACAGGCCATTCAAATGCAACTGGTGAAGGTTGGGGGGAGGTGTGGCTATTACACTGACATCTACCGAGGACCTCCCCTCAAAAGCAAACGCCGACTCGACGAAAGTATGGGACAGTATCCGACGTCCGTCTGTTCCTTTTTTTCATATTGGTGGCACGGAAGCAAGATGGTATATGGCCGACAGCTGGCTGGCTGTTAGTTGAGAAGGGGGAAAGTGGTGTGGTCGGATATATGTATACGAGGCATCGACGGCATGGCATATATACATATAATTGGGTATTTTATGGTCCGCGGGGGCAGCTGGCCGGGATGTTGGCCTCTTGCTTTTCATCACTTGTCCCCTTCTTCCACGTTCGACTCTGAGATTCTCTACTATTACTGATGGTCGGATGGATAGGAAGGATGCACGCTACACATATGTGAGGTACAATATGTTCATCTTCTATTAATCTCGTGCGAACAGACACGTCTAGGGGTAGGCGGACGTCTCGGCACAGGCTCCCCGGAAAACGAAATCGGGTGCGTGTCCTGGCAAATAACTAAAACTCGTCCCCATTTCCAACTTGAATTCTCAAGCTTTCCCTCCCCTTTGCTCCCTGTTCCTCTCAAAACAATCTCATATCCATCTCCGGCAGAAACGAATCGGCAAAGGGCCGAGATTAATTCCGTCCATTAGGCCGCTGACATGACCACAATCCAGAGTGGAGTTGAGAGAATATTTTCAGACGGAAGCCGAGATAATGAAGAGGGAGCGGTTCCAGACTCGATCGTAATGGAGGCTGTGCTGACGCATTTAGGGCCTGCAATTTTTAGAGGACAGGGCGGTGCTTTCATTTCTCTGAGGGTGGGAGGGGAAAGAGGTCCACATTCTCTATCGGACCGGCTACTGCAAGCCAAGGTATGCATGCTCTATGTGATGCACAAAGTTCTCGGGTATTTGGGAAGGGATTTTCTTTTTTATTCTGTGTTGTTTATTCTATCCTTTGCTTGTTTTAGTGATTCATTTCTTAAGCTTATGTTCTTTGATGAATTAGCATTTAACTCATCCCTATGATGAGTTTTAAAATAGGAGCTACGATTATTAATTATTAATTATTATTATTATTATTATTATTATTTATTTAATTATTTTTTTTATTTATTATTTTTTTTCCGGTTTCCTCCTCTTTGGATATCCGCCACCTTTCCAACGGCTCGGATCCTACTCGATGTCAATATTACATTGAAGACAGTTATGTACGAGGTTGCGTGATATACATTAGTAGTTACTGTCAGGAAACAACCTCAGGCACGGGGGTACATAAGGCAAAGCCAAGAAGATTTTTTTCTCATTCTCTAACCATATAGATGGTTACAATACAACTACACGAATATGCAGAAATGACAGGGGGACTAACTTGGGTATAGAGTCCACACACACGTTTTTCCTATGCAACAAAGCTACCTACTTACATAGAAAATGCATCTATAAAAGCATAGCTTCCTCCCACAGAAAACTGAGAGAAGGCATGGAAATCTCACAACGGACTAACACCGCTGCTTAGCCACTCCCACTTTATCAGTCCGTTTCAGTATATTGGAGTACTCGCTCGGAGCGGAGGGTAGCATTGCGATCACATGCGAGTAGATCCGGATCTAATTTCCAAAGTCCCATCACTGCCGGAATGGCTCTTCAGGTAGTTTGTTTCACAAGGAGATGTGGGTATGCTATTTGATAGTAATTTGGTCCTTCAATATCAGCATCAGACTGTGCACTCTCACAGCAACGCCAAAAAGAGAGAGAGGAGAAGAAAGGAGCAGCACGAGACCGTCAGCTACGGCCTGCTCCCAATCCTTCCTCTATGGGAAGCGGCGAGGAGGGCTGAATATTGGCGCCGATTTCGTTGCTGGCTGGCTGCCTGGTTAGCTGGAGGTAGAATCCTTTGAATGGAGGATATCAGTGTTGCCAAAATAACTGCAACATTAAGTTGAACTTTTTAAATCTAGACCTACTCAGTTCCGTGGGGACGAGACTACCCCTTCGATCAAGTTGTAGATGTGAATCGAACCAACACAGTAAATCTAACCGACGGAGCTGTTATTGGGTTTCCCCCTCAACATTTCCCCTACTGCTGAGGAAACCCAGCTCGCCCCATGGGCAGACCTAATTCACCCCGTGATCTACGTGTGTGAGAGGCATAGGTAGGAACTTGAGAAATGTGAAGAGGGGAAGAAATAGAGAGGAGAGAGAAACTAGGGAGACGCACTTGAACAAATAGTGGCTTGACGATGGTAATCCAAAGATTGGCATCCATGGGAACGAAAATGCGCTTTCCCTTCTGCCATTGGACAATGGCGTTGAGCTTGAATTGAAATTGAGCAGCGCCCCCATATGCAACCCGCGGGCCACCGTACGACGAATCCCAATGCCGTTGGAGAGGGGCATAGTGAGACGGCCCAGTCTAAACGAAAAAATCATTCTGCTTCGGAAGAGCTAGAGATCCTCTCATTTCCTTCGTCGGATGACTTGGTCAAAGGGAAGGTGGTAATGGAGGAGAAGGGAAATGACTGATTTGTGACTGTACTGCGTTTCGTCAGATGGCTATTGGTATTGTTGTTGCATTTCCCTACACGATGGAGACCTTATTGAATAAATCCGAGAAACCATGCCGTATATAAGAGTGGTGCAGCTTGAAGTTCAAGGATCCTAGATTCAGAAAATTGAAGATCTGATTTTCGAGAATGGTTCCTTGCTTGGATAGGTTAAACAAAATTGCGCATTACACAATGACGCATTGACGCCTGCTGATCGTGTTGCACAACATCCAGCCGTATCGAAATCTGACCCATGTCGAGTTCCAGCCTGGAGGTGGAGGCTTGTAGATGACGTTTAAGTGGCGACTATGGTAAATCTTCCCTATACGCTCCATTAGCCCGTCTATGTATCGAATAATCTGCTGTCTTTGGGCTTCGGATTGTGTCAGGAGGCCCTCGTAATAGGTTAGTAATTCAATATTTATTTGCGCCCTGTCTTCCCGGAGGTGCGACAAAATGTATAGAGAAATCAGCTTTCCTTTTCGTGATAACAAGTTTGCTGATCTCATCCAGCGCTGGTAATTCATAGAGAGGTTATTCATAGTAGCCACAAACACAGTCCAGATAAATTTCAAGCGCTTCTCAAAAGGAAGCTCAATACCACAAAGGCAACCACGAAATACATTTATTCAATGATACCTTTGCCAAAACACTCAGTAGCCCGTTGTCACACTTCAGTGAACGTTGACTGACTGCGAGGCATGATGGCGCAGGTCGTCATCTGGCTTGGGTAAAACATGCCTGGGGATGTATGGTATAGCACCATGCAAGCGACGGCAGCCGAGACACCATCTGCACATAAAGTCCACCCGAACAATGAAGCCGATCAGCTCATCGGTCTAGTTTATAAAGCCGTTTAAAAAAAAAAATATCTTGAGTAGTATTACTAGAAACATCGAGTCACATAAGTTTTTTTGTTAAGAAAGCTCTAACAACCCAGGTGAATTTTATCAGATATAAACTCTGACTATTGAAGTGTGGGTGGTTTCTCTGGGAAGAGGAATAACGTTGCAGACGTGAATACATGCTGAGACGGACTTCTCGGATGGTTGTGGTTCAATTCGTCATTGGAATGCTTGCTCATCACGTTGAAGCATCACTTGTTAAGTCCTATGGGATTGAACAATGGCTGAGAACCAATAGCCAGAGGTAGTTAATTTATAAGCACTCCCTCCCAACCAGTGACAAGAAGGCCGAATTGCAGGAATCTCTTAGGAATAGCTGAGATTGCCCGTGCAGAGCATCCTCCCAAAAGCCGCAAAAATTTGTAGGAGCCAGATTAGGGTTTAGATTTGCACGATGTTGTGCAGGAGAGCGCGGGTTGTATGGTGCTGCTGGATATGTTCCACAGAGATACCGAATCTTTGGAGCTTGGAACCTTCTAACAGGACCTGCAGCGTACCTTTTGCTTTTTTAAAGCCGAGGGTACAGGTACGATTAAATGGTCGAGACACACAACTGCCACGGTTTTGAACAAACGTCAGGTGTCCCAAAAATAGAAACTTATGTTTCTTGCGGTCTGGTTGGTACGTAATAGAGAATGCATAGCAAGCAATTCATAATGATAAGCCGATAGATTGGTTAATCAATGTATAATCGGTCATTGCTAGAAAAATGGTCCCCACGACTGCTGCCCCCGTAGTCGTGATGAACCGACCAGGGTAGATAGTCATTTGGAAGAAAAACTCCGGAGCAAAATGGAACCCAAATAACACCCAGAGAGCTATTTATATCAGGTAGTCATCGGAAACGTGCAGGGAGATTTTTTTTGGTACTTGCTTTGCTGGCTTCCCTTGTAGTCTTCAAGTAGATTGATTGATGTTTATTCAATCTTCTATAATTTTCCCCTTATGAAAGTGGACGGATGTAAGAAATATCCAGTCACTTAACTACTGGATGCAATAAAAAAAAAAAAAAAAAAAAAAAAAAAATGAAACAAGGGAGGGGAGTCTGTCAGCAGAGGATGTCTCCAACTCTGCGTCAACTTTGAACTTTCCCAGCCACTCAGGTTCAATTGTCGCCGTGCTTGGTGTCCACGCCTGTGCTGCCTGCTGCTTGGTTAGAAAAACGCATTGACGGCAGCAAGACAATGGCCGATGCCTGCGATATCAGGAACCAAGGGAAGATTGCGAACCGGCAAGCCACAGTAGTTATGATTGGCCCTGTGAAGAAGAAGACCTTTGTCAAAATGGGCCTAGTTTCAAGAGGTTCTGGCTCTTCGGCGGCTGCAGTCCATGCATGAGGCCCCGATATGACATGCAGGTCCTTACAGCCTGAACGACAATATCAATGCACAGAGCCAGCTCCAAGGGTGGTGATGATGACGATGATATCTTTCCAAGGTTGGATTTGGTAGGCGGGTGAAAAAGGTGGGGGGCGAAAAAAAACAAATCAAATCCATTCAGTCGGTGTACATTTGCACATCAGTAAAGCCACGCTCTCTTCCTATGGAAGCTCAGCCATGTCTTTCTCTCTCTCTGCTACGACTCTTTCGCCTCGGTGGAGAAAAAACAAGGCCAAGCATAGTATTTTATCTTTAATAACGGAAAATGCTGTGTGTGTGTGTGTGTGTGTGTGTATTGGAAGGCGGAGGCCATAATCAAGCAGCTATCAAGCAGTGTGTTGCGGCCAAGTCAACAGCAGCAGTGACAACACCGCCCATCCATTACGGATGCGATGCAAGTTCAAAGGAAGGTCGTTACAGGACAGCGTCCCTGGCGAGTCGAAAAGGGCGGGCATAAGCAAAAAGGAGGGGGGCAAAAACGATGAGGAAAAAGAAAGCATCAAGGTGAGTGGGGGGACAGTCGCTAAAAAGGTAAGGTGTACCTCGTCAGCCGCAGCAAACGCAGGCAAATCCAAAGTCACTTTTAGTGCCCAACGAGCCTCTCGGACTGGCTTAAACAGACATCGATTTCAGTCTGATCAGTGAAGCAAACGAAAAAAAACATACTTGGACAGCGCTCTGTGGATATCGCTCTTGAGAGGAACAGAGCTTATATCCTTTAAGAATATTACGCAGGCAGCTCCAATGCAAAGACCGCGCCTAATCTCCTCCTCCTAGCCAATGCCTGGATGAGAATCATTCCTCTGGACAGGTCGAGCTTTCAAAAAAGAAAGAATTGATCAACAGCTTTAAATTACCCGGAGAGCAGAGAGCCTTGGAAAAGGGTTCCGCCCTCTACGAATATATTTACATGCCGCCAAATAAACGGATACTGCAGGATATGAATGATTCCCATTTCTTCGTCTCGTATATGCAGCATGATGCCGAAAATGTCTCTGTCACATTTGTATCTTTCTTCAAACTCGGAACACCTACACCGCTGTTCACTCCCACGCATATCGCGGAGTTTTTTTATTACCCACATTTCTTCGGAGAAGAACTTTATGTAAGTTAAAAATAAGGATACATAGGTAAGTGGGGACACATCTGAATTTCCCTGAAGTCTTCTCCCTGACTCTCCTCATGGTGCAGAGCCAACCAGCCATTTTTCCCATTAGTTAGTTATTCCAGCAATCAATTTTGCAAGTAGCATGTTAATATCTTCTAAAAAAAAAAAAAAAAAAAAAAAAAAAGGAGAAAAGAGGAGAAAAAAAGAAAATATATTGAAAAAGAAAATATATTAAAAAAGCCATTTTCCATGCTTATGAGTTTTATGATTCTCTGTGTATGTGGAGGAATAATAATTATTATTAATTTCCTGAATTCAATCTCCAGACATACTTTCAAGCCACGCAAGCGATATAACATGCATATTCCGACGTGGATGTCCGCTGAGGCTTTGACGGACACAAGAGTGACGACTGATGGGCAATCCCAGTCCTCCACAAACCTTGTCGGGGAAGCATGGGGAGGGTCAATAGGCCATGGTCTCCCCCGGCATGAAGCCGGAAGGGGAGCAAGGATCGATCAGTGGGATTTGCCGGAGGGTGCTGCCAGCAAGAGCGCATCATGTCACCTCATTGGCTGCTCTTCTGCCAATTCGTCGAAGGGCTGCAGAAGGCGCCTACGCCGACTGCTTCACCGATCACAGTTAGCGAGAGCTCGAAGGACAGAAATAGATAGACAGAGCTTGGTTCATCTGTAGCCTCCCGCGGCCCACGTCTCTGGACAGATGGATGGGTACATCCGATATGCATGCCCACAAAGTCAAGTCTGCATGCTGGATCGAGTTTGTCTGCCAACAGTGCAAGGACCATGGGCTATGGACTATAGGCTTCTTCTGCTGATATACGTGTAGTTATCTGAACATGTCTCCAGTCAAATAAGGGGCAATACTCCAAGAAAGACGGATTGACCTCTTGACAAATAGAAAGCCTTGGACATGACATGAACACAGATATTACACAACTTTCTTTAGGCTGTAGGCCATTGAGCAGCTCTCATGGAACAGGAAGATGCATCACGATGTTGTAGTATGTAACTGGTTAGAGTTGTTGGTTAAGTTATACACGGACAGATCAATCAATGCGTGGACAGAGCAGAACGACATCACATCAACCCCCTTTTTCTCCCTCTTCCCCCTCGAAGGCTCTAGCTAAATCACCACTGTCACCAACTTCCCCCACCAGGAAGATCGTGTGCAGCGACAGCAGGCCCATCATCCACGCACAAAAGACTCAGGCCAACCAAGGCGTTCCTGGTGCTGGGTTTCAGAGATCGATGCACACGTCTGCCCGCCAACGGCGACTGACCGTCAGCGTCCGCCCGCAACGCTAAACCCTGGCACATTATTATTTGAGACACTTGGTGACAACTGACAGCGCCAACCGCCTTTTGCTCTTCATTGGGTCGAGCAATGCCGGAGCGCCAGCCTGAAAAATTCCTGGGTGAGCAGATCTCAACGTGGCTGTCTCCCGCAAGCCCATTATCCAAGCATAGAACCATATGTCTATGATCGATTCACACTTAATACTGCGAGCCACCTCAGCCCGCCGCCCCACCGCCCCACCCCCCTTCCCGGCTTATTTGTGTGGGCTTCTCTGCCGGAAGTATGTGTCCTGCAGAATCCCAGGGACCGAAGACGACAATATCGCCCTGCTTTGGGATTCAGCGAGAAGACACATAAGAGCTTCCTGTTCTCTGGAACCTCGTGCCTGATCCAGCCCCGTGGAAACAGCTGGTTTTTATTTTTATTTTATAATCCTCGAGTAAAACAAACACAATACACAAATACATATATAAAAAATCTTCGGAGCACACGGATGGGACCAAGCCAATGCTTCCAACGGCTTGCCTGACGAATATCAACCCTCCCACCAGCCACAAAGAGACATCCCATACCGTTTAGCCAGTTAGCCAGTCTGCTGCTTCTGTCAATGCACTGTACGTACCAATAAATAGCTGCCCCTCACTGGATATCTGCTTGTGCCCCCCTACGGTGCAAATCAGTTCGTGGTTTCGTGGTACCTCGCAGGCATTGGTCCGCAATTATTGCTCCATTTCTTTCCCCTTTTGTTTCATTTTCTCTTCCCTGTACTGTCCTCCATGTTGTTGAGCTCTAGATGTATCCAGTAAGTTCTTCTGTTGTCTTTAAATACTCCCTCGTTCTGTCTTGTCTTGCTGGCTCTGCCCCTGAGGCACCTCGGACTTCATTTCAGCCGTGAAAGCTCTCACTTGTTATTAATCCTCCTTTCCTCCCTTTTTTGCCTGACATCTGATATTAGTTCAGACACTTGTGACTTCAATTTTTATAAGAAGAGAGCCAAGTTCCTCTTTATTTCTTCCTTGTTCGTTGGTTTTTAATCCATTGGTCCCGAGCCTGCACATCTTTTCCTCCATCTGCAATCTTTCCAAAAGAACCACTAGAATTGGTGGTTGTAATATACCCTGGTAAGGCTGAGGGATCCTCCAACCTTTTAACAAGCGAAGAAACCTGTTCTGATTTCCAAACTGTTGAATCTCTCACCTTTCTCCTTTGCCCTCGTTCGTCAGCCTCAAGGAGCGCCAGGATTTCTGTCATCACTATCTGTCAAGATCAGCCCTGCTGCGGCTCCAATATTGTGACTGGGACATTTTAGAATCCTCCTGACAATAGCGTGTTTACAGGAAGGAAGAAGAAACAAAAAAAAGAGTCAACCAATCGCCCATATATTCAGCCGGTTTCATTCACGATGAACCATCAGTATTCCACTAGCGAAGAGCAGGACTATACCTACAGTTCTAGCAGTCAATATGGACTTTCGCAGCCATCTCTGCATTCCTACTCGACTCATCTTCTCTCCCCGTACAGCCAACATTCTTCCGTTTCCTCTGAGGGCTCCCAGTTACCCCCTCATTATGCAACATCACAATCAGTGTATGCTCAGACGCAACAGCATTCTCCGCCGAGTCATGGGTACCAGTACCCGATTCATTATATTGCCCAGTCAAGGTATCCTCCATCCCAGAGATACCTCTCCATTCCTGACCCTCTACGAGATGTCGAGATTGAGAGGCAAGAGTCATGTAACGAGCACTTGATGGCTTCTGAGCCAGTGCTACCGCCGCTGGAAGGGTTTCCAGACGTTGGAGAGTTCGACCAGCTCGTGGCCAGGTGATTATCCAATCCTTATTTTGTATTTTCAAAAGGTCAAATTGCTGATGGGGTTTCCTTGTTCGAAGTTACGTCCAAGACCTATCGGTCAAAAAGCAGGATAAAGCCTTGATACATTCAAGTAGGGCACGAAACATCAGAACGGTACTCATTGACCCAAAAAATACGGCAATAGAGTCGGCGCAGTTTCGGTAAGAGAATTTCTGCTCTTGCTACTCTTATCTCTGTCCATGAAGAGGAAGATGATAGTCACATAGTCAGACTTGCACGTTCTCGTAAACGTTGACTGATTATGTGTTGTAGCTTCTGGGTCAAGAAGATGTTCAAGCTTGAGCAAAATGATAATAACAGAGCATATGAGGTATGGCCCCTTTTGCCGTTTTTGACTCAAGTGTATGGGTTGGGGTATTTTTCTAAGCGATTATTAGTTAAAACGGTTCATCTGCCATGAAGGGAAACCAGTCGCAATCCGGGAGAAGTTGTTCAAAATTCTGACAAAGGCACACCAGCAATGTCAGCATGGCGGCCGAGACAAAACCTCAGCACAGGTTCGAAGGCTATATTCCTGGTATGTGTAACCCATCTCGTGAGAAAAAAGGGGGCAAGAGTGAAGAAAAGAGGAAGCACAAAGTAAAAAAACAAATATTGCAACAAACTTCCCCTCAAAGAAAAAGTCCCAACTAACCAATCCAATAACCCAACAGGGTCCCTAAAGAACTAATCTCCCGCTTCGTCAAAATTTGCCCAACCTGCCAAGTCCGCCGCGGCGGCTGCCGCCTCACCCCTCCAAACTCCCGCAAAAACTCCCCAAAACTAACAACCCTCCCAAACCCACAACTTCTCTCCCCGCCCGGCTCCAGACGGAACTCCGTAATCAGTCGTGCCGGCGCCAGCACCGCGGGACGATCGCAGAGGAAATACTCATCCCATCACCACGTCCAGGGCTCGCGTTGGGGTCAGAGCCACGGCCACAGCCACAGCCATAGTCCCGAAGGCCACGGTCACCATCTCCATCACAGCCATTACCAACATCACGTCAACCCTTTGGCGCCCACGGGACTGGCGACGTTGCCGAGATCGATGTCCGGTGCCATGGATGAGATATCTGGGGGAGGCATGCATTTGGCATCGACAAGTCATTTGGATTATCATGCCTCGTATGACGAGGGGCATGGGATTCCTGAGTCGCATTATTGAGGCGGTTGAGGGGAAGGTTTAGGTTCGGAGGGGGAGCTTTGAAAGGAGGGCTTAACGTTGGGAAGTTCATCGACTGTGGCAAAAGCAGAATGTTTGGGCTTTTGATATAAACGTCGACGTCGGCATTTGGGAATATGAGAATTGATATTAGGACTGGGAATCACATTATTGAACATTGACATTTGGGCATTGGGCATTGGGCATCTGATTGGCATAGGATGGCGATGGTAATGGTAATGGTAATGGGCATGAGTATCAAATAATGGGGGGATGGGATATGAATATGGCAGTTGAACTCTTTATATTATGCTCATATTTGATGTCATTTTTTCCCTATGTTCTTTGTGTTTTGTTTTTCGACTTTTATTTGACGATATGCTTGAAAGCCATTTTATTTTGTTAACTATGGTAGTTAATCAGGGTAAATGAAATTTAAAAAAAGCTTAAAAAAGAGGGGAGATTAAAGACTTTTCGTATTTATTTATACGAAGGCATACTTTTTGTGTTTCTTTTCGTTTTCATTTTCCATTTTATCTTTGCTTTCTCCTTTGTATGAAGTTTATATATTTGGCATGGATGGCGATGACATGTGGCTACCGTCTCTTCAAGACTGAGATGAAGTTGCTCTTAACTCAATAAGTCCCTCTTACTTTCTTGAGAACTTCTATTTACTCATATGATTCTAGATTTATCTGTCCTTTCATTTCATTTTATGTATGAAAGAATTATTCTTATATCTTTTTGTTTTTTTATTGCTTTTCTCTATCTAAAGCTTATATAAATTTGCCTACGGCATCTGGTAACGATGGAATGAGTGGTTCTTACTAGTTAGTCAGCCGGTGAGTATTATTAACCGGGCCCTAGTGGTTGATTTCATAATCAACCTCCGGTCGGACCCTCGCATACAAGGGTCCGCCACCTCAACGTGAACTGCCATCTCAATGTGAAAATTATTTTATCCAGGATATTAAATTAATTTATCAATGAATGTAGCAAGATCCATTAAATACAACTTGCTTATGCAGTAGACAATCCATTTATGACTCTTCCTAGTGAATTTGGTGGCTCTAACATTAATACCCTTGTCTCTACAATATTGTTTTTAAGTTCCACCATAACTTTCTTCCATTTTGAGTGCAACTTCTCTAATGCCTCCTGATTATCAAGCTTTTGATGAATGACTGTCATCTTGCATATATTAGATGCGGATATGACCCCTCCCTTATGTACTACTCTTCAGGATGTTTGCCAGCGGCATTCACAAGCTGCAGTGGCTGCGGCAGTTTTTGAGAGCTCATCCTGCAGAAGAGTCACTGTATTGACCATCATGATACTGCCCTTATAGAGCTTCTCTAGCCCAATTTGAATATATTCAGGGTCTTTGATGTCCTCCATAGAATTTGCACTTATATCAGTTGAATTGATGAACAGTTGAAGGAGTATACCAGGTCAAGGAGTTGATGAAAACAGATGTAGATGGACTCATAGGAGTTATCTCAAACTCACATAATTTATTAAGGATGATGAATGGATTGAATGGAACCAGGCCTGTTGCTTTTCATCCTCTCTTGATTGTATGAATTCTGAATGTCACCTTTCATATAGAGGTGATGGCATGAAGAAATTCAACTTTTGTAAACTTCTCACAATCACATCTTGTTGCTTCTTCAACTGCCAATGAATGATGATGCTTGAACACCTGAAAAACCCCTATATCCAGAGGCTGTAATAGATGACTTGTATGTGAAATAAGATAGAAGAGGATGATGTTATTCTTGTTGCAATAATCCATGAACTCATACATGCAGTGGGAGTCAAAGCCATCCAATAGAAGCAAACAATGAGATTCTTTGATGCAACTCTTCATAGAGTGATGGAAGTGTTGAATTCACTGAAAAAGTGATTTGATCATTGTTATAGCCAGTGTCTGACATGTCTATCATGACATTCTTCTCAATCTCATTGGTCCAGCGCTCCTGTAGCTGCTTCACAGTGAGAATGTACAAAGAAGGGATGATGAAGCCATCTGTTGAGACTGCTTCAATGATTGTAAGGTTTTCTCTATTATTTGAGCTTCCAACACAAGTCTGTCTTTGAGGATCTCACATCACTATCCACTGATCTTGTCTGATTCCTATCCTGAACCCTGTTTCATCAAAGTTGTATATATCACTGAGTTGGACCTCAAACTTATTCACTGTCTCCTTAAAAAGGTTAAACCAATCAAGTATGAATGACAACTTGTGGGCTTGCTTCCTTGCCATGTCAATGGTCTTCTGCCATCATATATTGTATTCAGGATGATGTTTGATGAATCTTTTGATCCAATGTTCTCCAATCTCAGATGAAAGATCAATGAGATCTTCATGACTCTCTGCAAGGACAAATCGGGCAGCACCAAGTATCATTGATTGATTGGGAGGTAGGCCTATCTTATCTAGTGTTTCTATATACTGACAGAGTGATTTTTCCTGGCCAGAAGATAGTAATTGGTTAGCAGGAGTTCTTTTGGTGCGAGGGAGGGGGCCATGGAATCAATTGATCAAATGTGAGTAAGGAACATTGAATTCTCTTGCCAATGCACTAATATTAGGATTTTCAACATTGGCTATGGATTCTAGAGCTTCTGTGATCTTATTCTCTATTAAAATATATGAAGAAGTCATTGCGTTGACTGGTTATAGAATTTTGAAGATGGAATAGAGTATCTAAGAAAATATTTCACGTTGAGGGTCCGACCGGAGGTTGATTATGAAATCAACCACTAGGGCCCGGTTAACGTATAAACCATAGCAAGAAGGGTTGAGTTACTCCAACTCCAGGAGTTAAGAACTAACTGAACCTCCGTACATTGCAACATGCCAAAGCAGTGCAGCTGTCCTGTACATACATAATTTGTATATCTAACCTTCATCCAGCCGCTTTTATAAAACCTTTTTAAAACCTGCCTCTCATATAAATGAAGCCAGCATCATGATCATCACCTACCTTAACCCCATCTCATCAAATGACATGACATGACATGACACGGCATTAAAATTTATATAGATAAAAATGTATACTAAAAAGGAGAACCTTCCATAGTCTAAATGAAATGACAAAGGTGAAGATAAAAGAGCTAAAAAGGAGAAGGAAAAAGGACAAAAAATAGGCATAGTAATGAGGAAAAGAAGGAGGTAAAAGTTATCACCAAGGAAACATCAAACCAAACCATCCAAGGAAAAAAGGGAGGGAAAACGAAGAAAAGAAAAGAAAAATGACAGCCGAATCCGAAAAAAACAGAATTTGATACAACATTGGCTGCCCGTATCAGCCAATTTGATAGTACAGCATACAAATGAGAACACCCACTCCCTCTATACACACACCACTTTTTACCCTGCTTTTCACTTCACCACCTTCAAAAACTCTCCCACGATAAGAAAGAGTCCTCCCTTCCTTCTTCCCCTTCCCGTTTCCCCACCCCCCCAACTTTTCTCAAAAAAAAAGAAAGAAAAAAGGTTCATAATGATAGTAATAAATTCAATTCCCGCTAATACCCAATACAACAGATGACGTATCACGTATATATATATATCGAATATCGGATATCGGATAATTATATCAATTGCATAGCGAGCGAGAAAAAAATCCTTCCCACGATTTTGTGCGTCACACACATATTCATACGGGCAGCGTGAACTTCTTGCCCTTTAGAACCCTGTCACATTCGAGAATGGATGGTTGGTTAGTTCAAACTCATCAATACTGGGTACCTAGACAGGCCAGAGCTCAAATACCCCCAAGAAAGGGGAGCTCGCAAATTTAAAAAAAAAAAAAAAAAAAAAAAAAAAAAAAAAAAGGAAAGAAGAAGCTGACTTGGTATAATATATCCAAAAGAAATCCGAATACAATATCGTCTGAATAACACCCGCAATCACAGAGATAGGCTCGAAGAACCCATTTGCGAAATACCGATAGATCCAGTTCGGTATGTATAGCGCGCGATAAATCCCCAGCGCGAAGAGGTAGTGAGTCGTTATCGTGTCCGCCTCGCCGGTGCGCTGGAGCATAAAGAGTTGCGGGAGGATGGCGACGGATTCAAGCCAGATGGAGAAGGCCCAGAGGATCTGGAGCACGTTTTAAAAGGGGAAAAAAAAATAAGTCAGCGGTGTTACAACGAAAGTACGCAGGGACGTGGAGGATAGGGAGGGGCTTTATATACCTCTGAGAACTCATATCTGGGTGGGAAGAGTATTCCCAGAACGGCCGATGCGCCGAGCAGGTATTGCACCTTGAAGGTATCGATGTTTGGGTCGTGGGTGGGTTTATAGTCGTTTACCATGAGGTATATTGTGTATGCGGAGGAGGAGATGAAGAGGAGTTTGAAGATGGTGTTATAGGCGGAGTCGGTGAAGGTCCAGAAGAGGTCTGTTATGATGTTTTAAGGAGTGAGTTTTCTTGATGCGGAATTTTGGAGCTGGATGAGAGGGATATAGAAGAGCATTTACCTAGGTACCGCGTAACGTAGACGAAGAAATATAGCGCTTGCGATTTAAAAGAGAGGCCTGAGCAGCTCTGGATGGAGAGAGGGAATTTTTAGCTGGTGGCATTGGTAGTAGTGGTGGTGGTATAGCAGATAACGGTGTATCAGGAAAGAATTTGATTGTTGCAATGTATGAAAAAAAAAGAGTGGTCTGCGTACACTGGACGACTTCATCTTCTGGAGGAGAATCAATATGGACACCAGATGGGAGAAATCCGCTATACATAGTAAAGAGGAAGTCAGTTAGCCATTGCTGTCGTCATTTCCCATTGCACGAATTCCATCCCATCTCCTATACATCTTAACCCCCGATGAAAGCTGGTCCAGAATCGAAGCCAAAACTGCCCGGCCCTCACTTCCGATCAAGCTACGGGACAAGCAAAACGTACCTGCCAACCTGAAGATATTCATCTTGGGCTGTGGGAATCGGGTCTAACCGCTAGTTGGCGGTTGATCTATATTGTATATGTATGTATTTCAATTTGATTCCGGCGTGTCAATTGAGACTGCGGCTTGTCTGTCAGTCTCTGGTGGGGAGATGGGAGGGAAGGAGAGCGCCATGAAACAGGGTTTGGATGTGCGAGGAAGATTAGCCAAGGTGTATGCGGTGCTGTCTGTATGTTGTCTGGTTGCTGTATGGTTGTTGGCTGGGTGTTGGCTGGCTGCTGGTTGTTGACACGAAGCCTGAAACAGCCAGAGAAAGAGAGAGAGCTCGAGGAGGAATTGTCCAGGCCAAGTCACGTGATAACAGGGACTGAACAGCCCCTGACTTGAAGCATGAGGAGATGGTATAGGACTGGGTATACATAGCTATGAATCCATGTAGGCATCCGACATGAGAGAGATACGTATAAGGTACCGAAGTAAGTCTCGTAGTCTCGTTGTTCGCCAGCGTGTGATGTGTTATTATTATTAACCTAATTCATTCGAACAATCTATAGCCCTTAAACTACCCCTGAATCGCTTGCTCAAAGACACTCCAGGATAGGGGAAAAGAAATAATACATTAAGTAAAATAAAAGTAAAAATAAAAATAAAAGAAAGCACATACTAACCAATTCCACCCTCCAAACATCCACATAACCAGCGCAACCACCCGTCCCCACAATGCACCTACCAACACTCCACACCCTAACACAGAAACCCACCAACCCCCCCTAAAACGCCCTTCCCCCTCCTCCCTCCCCCCCAACCATCCTCCCCAAATGCCCCTCAGCAAGCTCACTCCTCAATGCCCCATTCTCACTTTCCCTCCTAAGCCTCTCCCACTCCCTCAACCCAGCCCTCTTAACCCTCTGCTTCTCCTCAATCTGCTCCAGCAACCTCTCCCGATCCATCTCCAACTGCACCAGCCTCTTTTCCCGACTCGGATCCAGCGCCGGCGGCAGGGGAAGCAGTTTGCCGCCCGGGATCAGCGGGGGGAGGGAGGAGAGGTGGTTTGTTGTGCGGGGTTGGTGCGGGGTACGAGGGTGGGTGTGGGATTGGGAGTGGGAGTGGGAGTGGGAGTGGGAGTGGGAGTGGGAGTGCAGGTAGGTATGCGGGTGTGGTGTGGAGGTATGAGAGTGCGAGTGAGAGTTACTGCTATGCCGAAACGGGGGCCGGTGGGAGTCATAGCTTGACGAACTTGCCCGTGGGCCCGTGGGTGGTGCTTTGTGGTGGGCTGCCATGGGCGGGGATGTGTGTCTCGATGTCCCGGATCCAGATCCGGAGCCAGACCTGGATATGGGACCGTCCCTGTCCTTTTCCCTGTCCCGATCTCTGTCTCTGTCCCTGGCTGAACTAACCGGCGACGGACCACCCCCGACACTACCCCTTGGTCGCGTGGGCGCGGAAAGAAGCGCGAGATTCGTCACGCGGCCTTGAGGACCTGTTGGTGGCGTTGGCGTAGGAGCAGACGCAGGTGTAGGTGTAGGTGTAGGGGCAGGGGCTGTTGAAGAAGGTGCCGACGGTGGCGTAGTGGATTGTGGCTTGGTGAGAGATTGAGGTGCGCTGGGGATTCGAAATGGCTGCTGTGTACCATTCTGCAGCGCGGGTGATGGCGGAGAGGGCCGCTGCTGTTGTTGCTGTTGTTGCAAATTTGAATTTTGACATGCGTCTTCACCCCTTTCGTTCCCATTCCTGTTCCCATTGCTGTTGCCGTTTCCGTTTCCATTTCCAGGACTCGGTCTGGGTAGTTTATCAGGTAATCGAGGTGATGGACCACCTCTACTAGGCCCCCTCGGTGGTGAAGCTGGTCTGCTAGACGATGGCGCGCGTGGTGGTTCAGTAGCCCGTGATGGCGGAGATCTAATTGCCTGGTAAGGAGAAGGTGCCATTGCACCTGTAGAAGCGGGCGCAGCAGGCGAACTAGCATCATTTTGCGACTGCATCTGTACCCTAGCCGGTAAATTAGCGGGAGACCGCGCCATAGTCACAGCACCCGCACGCGACAACATATTCCCCACCCCCACATGTAACGGCGGCGACGACCGTCTCGACGTAGTCGCCGACACCGGGCCCGAGTTGTTATGTCCCGACGGCGTACGGGGCGACGGAGACCTGCGGCGCCATGACCGCTCACCAGCAGTGGAGGGAGGCTCGTGGCGTTGCTCCCATCTGTCTCTGTCTCTGTCTCTGTCTCGATTTCGATCTCGATCTCGATCTAGGCTGCGCGAACGAGCGCGTGGGGCGGAGCGGGGGTATTCTGGTGAGCGAGGACGTTCATACCTGCCTCTGGTCGCGGGCAAGGGGGAGGAAAGGCGCTCCCGCTTCGGAGAGCGGGGGTGGTAACTGTTCAGTGGCGAGGGGTCTCTCATCCGCTTTAAAACGGGAGGACTCCGCTGCCTTTCTCTTTCTCTTTCCCGTGTATATCTCTGCGACGGAGGTGGTGAGCGCGAGCGCCTCTGTAATCTCTGCGGGGAGATGCGGCGCACATTATCGCGAACTGGAGATAGCCTTCTTGCTCTGGGGTTATAACTGGACGCTGCATCTCTGTCTCTGTCTCTGTCTCTGTCTCGATCTCTATCTCTATCTCGTCCTCGAAAGGGCGGGGGGGTTCGTGAGCGGCGTCGGAAGCTTGGCGGGGAGCGGCTGCGTGGTCTCCCATTGGTACGGTCGGAGGGTGCCCAGGTGTCTGCTGCTGGTCGGGGTGGGGGAGATCGGGCTCTTGGGGTTGGGGAGCGGGGATAGCGGTTGTCGTCGCGCGGGAAGGGGCGGTAGGACTCGCCGAATCGGCGGGTTTCGTCGTATCTGGGGACGGGGAGAATGTTAGTTTGGTTGTTTGTTTGTAATTAGAGTAAAAGAAGTGGTGTTTTGTAAAGGCAAGAAATTGGGACATTGTTTAATGGGTGGTTAGGGATGGAGGATTTCAAACCTTCTGTCACGATCCATGGTGTTTGTTAATTGCGTAGATGTGCAAGGCTGAGAGTGGACTTTGGCAGCTAGATGAGATAAAGCAGGAGAGAATGCGGCGGCGGCGAGGTGAAGAGTGGGTAAGAGTCAGAGTGTTGTTTAATCAACTCATAATCTAGAAGCTGACGTATGGAGCATATTATCCTACAGTGCCGGATTTTGATCCTGCACTGTGTTCTCTGTTGTTCTGTGTTCTGTGTTCTGATTTTTGTTCTGTGGTTGTAGTTCGTTGAGGTTTTCGGGTTTAAATAAAAATGAAATTTTGGGGAGGTCTGTGGCACGTGACATTGGAGCTTGCATGGATAGGGGTAATATTTATACATACAAAGAGGGGGAAAGAAATGAAATGAAATGAGAGGAAAGATTCAGATTTGGATAAGAAATATGTACATCCAATGTGCTTACGGTTATCCGTTTTCGAGGCAGAATGTTTGATTGTCGACCTCCTCAATCCATAACTCATTCTATGCCGCCTGCTACATGCGCACATCAGCACGGAGCAAAATGTGTCAGAAACACCTTCAGAACTCAATTGGGAAAACATTTATCTCAAACCCACAATCAAACAAGAAAATTGGACATTGGTACATAGTATTTTCCCACTTATCCCTTCCCCAACGCCAAAAACCCATCAAACTCCAAACTCCCAGCCACCATCACATTCCATCTCTCACCGCTACCTCTACCTCTCCCTCTACCTCTTCCCTCTCTTCTCCTCCTCCTTCTTCAACCTCTTCCGACTCTCACTAGCAATCATATCACTCAAATCCTCCTGAAACCCCCAATTCGCACTCCCCACCCCCCCAACACCCTCCTCCCTCCTCCCCTTCTCATACAACCCCTTCAACCTCTCCTTATCAATCCCAGTCCCGTCGCTCCCCTGCAGCGCATCCAAATCCACAGAAACGTCCACATCACCGGGCTTCTTCCGCTTGCGGCTCTGATCATCCACACCAAGCACGGGGAGATTACCGTGCGCAGCTGCGCCAGATGTAGATGCAGATGCACCCGCCGCTTTAAGATCATATGCCCGATCCCCGCCAAAGAACCCTTTAACAGCCGCTGCCCGCTCAGGAACAACTGTATAGGCCGACCTATGGTATGCAGCAGGCGACTCTTCAGTCTCCGTCCCGCGCGTATGCTTCCGCACATCAAACTCCCCGCTGGCACCAACAACGCTTTCCGCCCCTCCAAACTCCGACGGAATCGTCGATACCATTCCGCTCGGCGTCTCCAGCCCACTAGGCGTCTGCAGTCCCATCCTCACACGCCCTTCCTCCTCATCTCCCTCATCCCCACTCCCACCCTCTTCCTCCTCACTCTCTTCCTCCTCCTCCTCTTCCTCCGGCGCCTGCAACTCTCCCCACAACTCCTTCTCCACAGGCTCTCCTAGCTGCACATTAGACTGCGTCTGTAAGACACCGAAAATATCACCACCGTATAACGGCCGGTTATGCTCGTCGACGGGTGGCTTTCCATATCCGCCGGGGTGGTAACCCCACATAGCCCCAGGGGGTGGCGGGGCATTGAGGCCCGGTATCTTCAGCGCAGGGTACGACGGAGGCGGGCCGAAGCGTTGCTGGTTAATGAGCCATGGCGGGGGTGCACCGGGTGGTATATTCAATGCGTCTTTGAGCTCATCGCTCAGCTCACCAGGCCGCAGGTGGCGAAGGTTCGTTTCGTATTCCTTGCCTTCGTAGTACACCTCACCGTAGCGGGTTAATTCGGGCTTAGTCTGGAAGCGAAAGAAGGCTTCGTAGAGCTTTTGGTAGTCGATGTCCAGCTTACCCATTTTGGGCTGGACGCGTTCGCGCTGCTTTTGCTTTAGGGTTGCTTGTTCCTGTTTCTCGAGGGCTGCGTCGCGCATTTCGGCGATGCCGGTTTCCTGGATGAATTTGGGCAGGGCGAAGGGGGGCTTTTCGACACCGCGTTTTGAGGAGAGGTATTCGCGCTTCAGGGACCAGTGGGTTGGCACTGGGACGACATTGCGGTACGCTTTGATGTGCACTAGTAGTCGCGGATCGGAGGCGGAGGTATCTGTCCACTCGACTGTTTCTGGTTTTCGGACTAGGGCTTTCAGTTCGGCAACGGAGAGCTTGTTCATTTCCTTGCGTTTCTTTTTGGAGAGTTTGGGGCCGGTGGCTTCTTCTTCTTCGTCTGGGATGTCATTGTCGTCGTCGAAGTATACTTCGGGCTTGTCGGGCTCTTTGGAAAGGGAGTCTTCGTTCCTTTCCAGTTTTTCGAACTTGGTGAGGACGTCTCTGTACATCTCGTAGAGGGGGTCGAGAGAATCGTAGAGGTTTTCAGGGTCGGTCGGGTTTGTGTCTGCGTTTGTGTTTGTGTTTCCGTCTACATTGGCGTTGCCGCTGTCGTTGCGCTCTGGCGGAGCAGCCTCAGATGGAGGAGCTTCCGATGACGGAGGGCAATTTTGCTTATAATCCTTCGTCTCAACAACCTCCTCCACCGTATCGCCTTTCGGCGCAGGAGAATTTTGACTAGGTTTTAGCTGTAAGAATGTTAAATCAGCGCCACACTTCTTCACTTTAAAAGTAGTATATAGCGACTGAACAACACAAACATACCTCATTCTTCTTCGCTTTCCGCTTCGCTCTCTTCAGCTGATTCTTAGTTGGCTTTGCAGTGATGGCAGGCATGATGATGTCGGAAAGTATTACCGTTTAGATATATGGCTTGATCGGAGCAGAGGCTGGTGAGGAGCGGATCGCGTGCCAGGTTCCCCTTTAGTCTCTCCAGCTCAGTCAAGCAAGCTTGATAGATGGGTAAGCAGGACGCATGGATAAGCTAGCAGCGGTTTGTATCTGTACCAGGAGTAAATCGAGGTATGTATATGGAGTATAGATGGAGCATAGATGGGAGGGCTAAGTTGTCTGTTGTCCTGTGTCCTGAGGTCGTCTTAACCAGGTGTTTGCGAGGCAAGAAAGCTGCGATATTCGACAGTGTCACGTGATATAGATATTCGTGCAAAAAGAAATATACTGCAGAGATCAGGCAGTTTGCAGTGCAGGGAGTCAGCAGTATTGTAGGTGATGATTCAGGATATATATATGTACGTGTGTAAGACTGCCAATAAGAAATTAACCCTCTAGAAATACCATTGCCTAAACGAAAAAAATAAAAAATAAAAAAAGGGAAGAAAGAAAGAAAGAAAAGAAAAAGAAAAAAATCCCAGACATGCTCCTTTTAAACACCCATCCAAATGTGAAAACAAACCCCGTGGTAGAATTGTCCCATGAAACAAAAAGGAAGAAGACCCATTGCGATGTCCATATACATGTACATATATATTAATAACATGCCCAATTATCCCCCCGTGGCATCCAGCACGGGCAAGTGTACCGACTCCAACTAACCTCTCTTCTTCGCCGATCTCGACTCTGTCAACGCAGAAACCAACGTCAGTCAATGCAAAAGCACAAGCAACTAAAGAAGTGATCTTACCAGCAGCAGTTCTCCTCTTCTTCGGATTCCCCTTCCCACGACTCTTCAACCTATATCAATGTTCCCCAAGTCAGTAATCTTCCATCACCAATTCCTCAACCACCCAGAAAATTCTAATAATGCTGCACAACATACCTCTCAATAACCTCCAACCTCTCCCCCTCCTCATAATCCACCATCCGCAGTCCCAGATGCTCATATGCCTTGCCGAGCTCCTTCAATGTGCCTATTCGCTGCGGGTAGTAGGATGCCAAAGCAGGCCCGCGCAGGCGCTGGCGGAGGACTTTGTTGCCCAGTCGTTGGCGGTCGGGGTTGTAGGTGTGGGAGAAGATGCGGCATTGGGCCTGTTGCTGTGAGTGGGATGGACGTAGATAGGGAGAGCAATTGGAAGGGGGGAACGGGGTAGCAGGGGGGAATTTACCTTGACGAGGTCTAGGAGGCGGGAGCGGGGAACGGAGAGGGCCATGGCGGGCTGTGGGTTGTGTTTGAGTGCTGGTGGGCTGGTGGGCCGGTGGGCCAGTGAACAGTAAATTGCTGGCGGTGGTTTTTTTTTTTTTTTTCTTTCTTTCTTTTGACGGTTGAGATTAGATTTTGAGGTACGCAGTTAAGTGAGGGAGGGAATGGAAATGTTTGGGAGGTGGTGGGCGCTAGTCCTGTCTGGGCTACAGCATATTCATTACATCGATTGACAACTGGAGTCAACCAGCAACTAAACAGCTATTAGCAACCGACCACTGGCCTCTGGCCACTGACCACTGCTTCAACCCTTGATCATTTGTAGAGGAGACACTACGAGGAACACCTATAAATGGAGACTAAGCGGAAACTGGACCCTTGTACCTCCGAAGAGACATCCGCGGGGAATGGCGTGAAAAAACGCAAGGTGAGTAACCAACACTTTTATAAGTTAGTATCTTCACTGTTAAACTACGGAGAATATACTGATATCTGTCTAGAAGAAAAATTTCCCAGATGCGGAACCGGACAGTACTCCAACATCCCCATCCTTCTCAAACACAGCAAAACAAAGAACAAAAACCCAATCCCGCCTCCAAAAACTCCAAAAGCTCACCCGCAAACTCTTAAACCACCCCGAACAAATCTTAGAAGCACCCATAAATGGCTCAGCACCCGGCCCGGACCTCCTACAATCTCTAACAGCGCTTAACAACTCCCTCTCCCTCTCCTCCTCCTCCTCTCCCCAAACCCACAATCCCCAAGATCCACCGTCCTACTACTCCCAATCCCCCCTAGACCGCCTCTACACGCCCTCCCTCCACCTCCACGCCCAAAACATACTACCCCCCCTCCCCCCCGTTCCCGACAAATCCCTCCAAACCGCTATCTTCACTCACGAAGGAGTCAACGACCCCACAAATACCACAACTACCACCACCTCAACAGAGAAAAACTACGAACGCCTCGAGCTGCTGGGCGACGCCTACATCGAGATCTTCGCCACGCGGCTGGTATGGGATACCTTCCCGCGTCTGCGGGCCGGCCGGCTGTCTCAGATTCGAGAAATGCTGGTCAAAAATGAGACGTTGGCGGAATACGCGACGCGGTATGGGCTTGATAGGAGGCTGCAGGTTGCGGCGGAGATACGGCGGCAGGCGAAGACGTGGACGAAGGTGCGTGGGGATTTGTTCGAGGCGTATGTTGCTGCGGTGATATTATCGCATCCGAAGCGCGGGGTGGAGATGGTTGAGGAGTGGTTGACGCAGTTGTGGATTCCGAGGTTGGAGGGGGTTGAGAGGGAGAGGCCTGTGCTGCGGTATAAGGAGGAGTTGGCAAAGATGGTTATGGATAAGGGGGTGCGGGTGAGGTATGTGGATGAGAGGGAGGGGGTGCAGAGGAAGGGGGGACTGCAGACATTTTTTGTGGGGGTTTATTTGGACGGGTGGGGGTTTCGGGATGTTTGTCTTGGGACAGGTACGGGGATGAGTAAGGTTATTGCGGGGAATGAAGCGGCAAGGAAGGCTTTAGAGAATCCGGTTGCGAGGGAGGCGGCGGAGAGGAAGAGGGCGTTTCATGCTGGTGATAGGAAGGGGAGTGGTGAGGAGGGAGGGAGGGGGTGAGAAGCAGGGGGAAGGCGGCTGTATGATTAATTGCGAATTTGGCATGATGATGCCTTGGGTAGACCATGACATGCTATGAAACTACACTATCTTAACGAATTCTTTTTTTATTACCCCCGAATAGATAGCATCTACCCCCTATTCATCCACCTACATACTCCCTTGGAGTCACATCCATCCATTCAGATACCGGTCACGTGGTATCAATCCACCCCCCTCGACATTCCCGCCGAGAAAAGAAATCGAACTCCCCTTCCATCCCATCACCATAACACCGCCTACAGAGGAATAATATCCCTCCCCCACACCACCACAGCGCGACAAACCCACATACCACACAACAATGGGACTCCGCATCCCCATCCCTCGTGGCGTCTCCCTCCGCCGCACCATCCCCTACTGCTATCGTCAATTCAGCTCCACCCCAATTCCATCAACACCCTTAAGAAGTAAACCCGAGCTCGCCTACCAAATCTGGCCTTCTCTCGATAACTCTGCCGCAATCGATGAAGACCGCAGCCCGATCGTGTTCATGCATGGACTCTTTGGCTCCAAACAGAACAATAGGAGTATCAGTAAGTAAGCAAATAACCTTACATGCAAATATACGTGGTGATCCATGTGGCGGAGGCTGGGAAGGAAGATGTGAGAAGTGGGAAGTGGAAAGTGGGAGGATGCGAAACTGATACGTGATACCGGTGATGTTGTAGAGCGTTGGCGGCGAAGTTGAGGAGGAGGATTTGGGCGATTGTAGGTGTCTTTCTTTAGCTTCCGCTGGGCGGGGGTTTGATGCATGCCGGCATCGTGGTGTAGGGTAATATGCATTCATTGACTATGATTTTGGTTAACGGTTTCAACATACAGGATCTACGAAACCACGGAGACTCCCCGCACCTGTCCCCGCACGACTACATGTCAATGGCAGATGACGTCGAGGCATTTATCCAGCGCTTCAAACTGCACAAGCCGGCTTTGATTGGGCATTCCATGTACTTCCTCCTCCCTACTCCCCTACCCCTCCACCAAACATCCCCAATCCCCAAAGGCAAATATCCAATTGATGTGTATCTGATATAGCTGAAACCAGGGGCGCAAAGACAGCAATGACCCTCGCACTCCGCTCCCCGCAGCTCATCTCATCACTGATATCTGTCGACAATGCTCCCGTCTCCGCGAAGTTGGGCAGCCAGTTCGTGAACTATGTAAAGGCCATGCGGGAGATTGAGAGAGCGGGCGTCACGAAGCAGAGTGAGGCGGATAAGATATTGGAGCGATATGAAGAGGTGCGTATACCAACATCTACAACATATTATCACACAATTGCCACACTCCCTCTTCTCAACGCACACACCGTATCTCTAACCATATTTGCTACCGTCCAGTCCCTCCCAATCCGCCAATTCCTCCTAACAAACCTAACCCGCAATCCAGCATCCCACATCCTAAAATTCCGCATCCCCCTCTCAACCCTCGCCTCCTCGCTCGATGAACTCGCCTCCTTCCCCTACAACCCCGCCACAGCGCCCGCGGACCTGAAGTTCGAAGGACCCGCACTCTTCATCCGCGGTACGAGAAGTGGGTATGTCAAGGATAGCACGCTACCGGTTATCGAGAGATTTTTTCCTAGGTATCAGATTGTGGATGTTGAGGCGGGGCATTGGGTTATTTCAGAGAATGGGGTGGGGTTTAAAGATGGTGAGATTTTTTTTTTTTTTTTTTTTTTTTTTTTCCGGTTTGGGGGTGGGGGGTTGAAAGGGGAGAGCTTTGCTAACAGATGGATGTTGTGTTTAGCTGTTACGGAGTTCCTGAAGGATAATTAGACCGCGCGATGGCGGCGAATATGTTTTGTGAAGATTTTGGGTTTGGTTTGGGTGTTTTGTTGGAGATATGGCTGGCTATTAATAATATAATAAAATATGTCCTTTGACGCTGGTTGGGAACAGGGGGTTGGTATATGGAATTTATTTCCTTTTTTGGCTTTTGAAGACAGCTGAGGTTATTATGTACGGATAGATACTTACTTAGAGCAAATGGTTTCTGCTATATAGACATTTAGTTCAGTTCTGCGACTGCAATTTCATCACATTCCTGAAAATGAGGGCGTGGTTAGGTAGGTAGATTATGTTGGGTGCGCAGAGATTATAGACGTCCACAGTACATTTTAATTTAACAGTAACAACACATTCATGATATAAAATCAAGATGCCAGGGCTGCATCTAACAAGCCTAAACGCCACAGCGGTGGACATTGACATGTTACTTTTATATATATCTCTGGGTGAGTTGATTGAAATCGTCATGCAGGTGACATTCGGTGAAGAGAATGAGTTATGGGAAGGGAGGTTGAGGGTAAGATAGAAAAAGGGCGAGAAGATATCAGTAAACCGTGCCACATACCCCATTGATTGCGGCTGAAAAGCAGCTGGAAAAATGCAACAAACAAAACAATGGGAAACTATTCTAGCCAACGATGGGTAATATCTGGGTGTGGCTTTTTGTGGAAATACTTTTCCTCTCATGTCAGCGTTCCGTTCCGTTCGCTCGCTGATCGGTCGACCGATGGGACATAGAGATGGGGATTGAATATGAGAAATACAAAGAACCTTTGAATTGACACCGTTTTGGCGCTTTTGGACATCTCAACCAATCAATCATGGAATGGGAAAAAAAAGTTAAGTCGAAATGGAAGAACACATGAAACACAAAGTTGACATATTCCACGTTAAAAAAACAAGAAAACAAGAGAATAAAAAGAGAAAAGTAGACTAGAGGACCTCGGCAGCAGCGACAGCGGCAGTAGCACATGAAGAAAAAGAAGGCTATTAAGGTAGAAAAGCTCCTCAGGGGGGTTTACATGATCTTTATATTTATTAATGTCCCGACTTGCAGGTCCCCCTTTATCACCTCCCCTTTTTGCCCCTTCCGCCCTTCCCCACACAACCCAACGTCTATTTCATTTTGCAACTGCTTAAACGCTTTCGAGGACGGTCTCTTTGAACTCTCTCTCGACCTATGATCAACGGAAAAATGGTATGAGTAAAATGCTGATGTGGAAATGGTGGAGGATTGTAAGGTATGCTAATTTTGGTTTGGTGGGTTGGATTGGATTGGGCATTACCTTTTGTCCCTTGTCATCAGTACTCGACTCTCCGTGGAGGGCGAGTAGAGCACCCAGATCGAACTTGGGCGATTTGAGGAGCTTGACTTTACGGATGTGGACCTATACAGCGCAAAGATAGACGAACGAAATTAGCATCAACGCTCCAACTAGGACAAACATCCAGCGAACAGCGCCATTAGAAACAGGCGGTAACATCTCACATTCTGCAATGGATAAATCCCATGCGTCGCCTTCTCAATCTCCCTCCCAATAACCTCGGGAATAAGCTTCGTCAGCTGCGCCAAACTCCTCGTCCCCGCCTCCCGCTGAATAATCTCCACCATCTTCTTCCGAATAGCTCGAATCTGCGACGACTGCGCATACGTCGTCTTCTTAATCTGGTTAGGCCGTCTCTTGGTGAAGGCAATGGCGAACAGGCGCAGGAGGTAGTCGTCTGTGGTCTTGACGGTGACGTTGGCCTCGATGAGGGTCTGCCATTTGCGCACAAGCGAACGCAGCTTGTCGGACGTGAAGTCGAGGCCGTGGAAGTTTGTGAGGCAGTTTTTACCTTGGACTTCGTCAACGCGGAGTTTCACTTTGCGGAAGGCATGGTCTTCGTCGTTTTGGAGGTCAGCAAGTGAGACTTCAAAGATACGGCCTTTTAGGGCGTCGTTGGCGTTCTTAAGGCCGGTTGTGCGGTTTACAAGAGTTTTGCCAACGCTGGGTATCTGTTAGCATCCTGGCATTCCTTTATGTGGGTTTCTTTTTCGGTGGATTTCTGTGTTATGGATTGGGGTGGATGGATTATTGTACTCTCTGATGGCAAAGGTCGAAGGAGCCTGATGGATTGAAAAGAGAGATTATTAGTATTTTTCTACATATGCACGTCTAAACTCTCCCCACCCCAGGGTGATCACGATATAACATCACATACCTTGACAGAATATTCATCTTTCCTCGAAAAGGGATCCTGAGTCCGCTTCTTCAGGCCCTTCTTACCCTTCGACAGACGCTTGTTCCTGAACACACAATCCATCAGCATATCAATGATCCCTAATCCCTAATCCATTCCCATCCCCATTCTCATCCTCATGCTCAATCCCACATCCAAAGAGAAAGGGTAATAAACACTATGAACATACTTTCCGACAGCCATATTTGCGACTCGGGCCTATCTTGCAGCTGGCAAAGACAGATCAGATTATCGCATCCGGGGCCTTGAATGGAGCCAGGGGTCGAGGGGTCGGGTTGTCGAGATGTTGGAGATTAGGGACAATCATAGGACTTCGTCCACTTGATGTTGAATAAGGAAAATCCCACACAAATTTCCCGCTAAGCGAGCCCTGGGCCGCTAGCCATAGAAGGTTAGTTTGTATTATGTAAGAAGACGCAACTTATCCAGCTAACCCTATTTCTTGGCATGGGCCTCAGAAGAGAACATCGGGAGATGGGAAGGGCGGGATAACAGTTGGATGAATATATCTATGATGCTTTCTTGTGCGGATTGATTGGTGGACAATGGAGTCAATGCATGGGATATCCAAAGTAATTAAAACGTAATTCTAGTTGCCTATGTCTAAAGTCCAGATATTTCCATTTTAAACATCTACGAACACCCTGGGTATCGTATCTTAATCGAATTCACGGATATCCAAATAGTGGAAAAAGTTCTACCCGAATGGTATGCAAATGATCGTGAAAGAAGGGAAAGTGGAAAAAAAAAGTGGCATATGGCATATGCGTCGTTAAGAGGCATTGCTTGGTCCCACACCTTCTGTTCCTGCGAACGGTTCATGCCTTCCATACACCACCTCTGCAACGATATACGGACCGCACCTAGACCTGGACCTAGACCTAGATCTTCCTCCCCCTCAATGCTACAGAGACATTCAGCATCAATAATACAAAGCTCACCCGTAAACGACCATACGGATCTCAACCCCAAAGGAAAAATGGAATCAACTTACATCAACATCCTCCCACGCCCGCCCCTGCACCTGAGAAAGCTCTTCCATACTCATGACTTTGCCGGTGGTAACTGCATCATCGCGCATTAACAGCGCCATTAGCAATTTGAACCCAATAACAAACCCATAAAAGGAAATTGAAGGGATGTTGGGATGCAATATTCCCTTCCTTACAATAACCGGCATGTATCTTCGCATCGATCTCCACCCGGCTATCTTCCGGTATCAGTTCATCAGGGATAGGCACTCGCTCGAGGATTGGGATGCCTTGTTCGACAATGGCGTCGTGTTTCATGCTGTGGGGCGGTTGAGTTAGTAGCGTGTTCATAGTGGTGGCGTGGTGTTTTATCTGCTCTCACAGGCAAGGGATGGGACGGGACTTACTTTGACATGCTTAGCATTCGGTCGATTTTGGTGATGCCGAGCCAGTGGAGGATCTAAGGGTGTTGTGGGTAATTTGGTCAGGAAGGTTGAATGGATGGATGACTGGATTATATAGGTGGATATGCTTCGTATATTGTGAGATTTTGCAGGGAGTTACGTACATCTGGCATTAGAGCTTGGAAACGCATGTCCTGGAGGATATGTTAGATATCGAGCAATTGCAACTGAGCAGTGAGTTACGTACCTTAACGCCTGCGATATTCTCGGTTCGTTTGAAGTATTCGCTGGCGCCTACACTCTCATTAGCTCCGTGTGTCCGTCATTACACTCCACACTCCCTCCGACAAGGGGTAAAAAAAGAAACCGAAAAAGGAACATACGATCAGATCCCCGCTTCCCTATGTACATGCGCACCTCATTAGCAAAAGTCAAATGGAACAAACAAGCACCCCAAAACCAGGGAACGGAGACAGGAACAGAAATTAGCCAGCAAACCAGCCAGCTAAAAAATACTAACGCGCATTATAAACCAAATACTTTGTAACCTCCCCCAACGCCCTCCCCTCCTTCCTAAAATAAATCACAACCCCGCTCCCGCCCCGCTGCGCCTCCTTCACCGCCTCCTCAATCCCAAATATTAAATAGGGCCGACAGGTGCAGATATCGGACCCGAAGACGTCGCTGCCGTTGCATTCGTCGTGTACGCGCAGGGCCAGTCGAACGCTGGGGTCAGACATCTTAGCTGGGTCGCCGAAGCAGTAGACAGTTAGGCCGCCTATGGGGGGGAGGAAAAGCTTGATGTCGCCCCGTGTTATTAGTTCTGGATACGAGCCGCCGGTGTTTTCGAAGAGGGAGCGGCGTAGGGTTGCTTCGTCTGGGTTGAGGGTTTGTTAGATATACACAGATAGATGGAGAGACAGATAACAGCGTATTTCGTAATAGGGAGGAAGGCGGGGGGAGAGAGAGCAACCTACCAATTCCAAACCTCTCCGCAACACCGGGCAAATACCAAACGGGTTCAACAGCAACCTTCGTCACCGCCAACTCCCCACTCTCATTCAGACAAATCTTCCCATCAACCTTCAACCGCCCGCTCTCAACACTCTGACGAAGCTCAGGCAGCTTCATATGCGCCTTTGTAATCGCGATGGTGGGCCGTATATCCACACCACCTTCCTTGATCATATGCGTAAAGTCCCAGGGTGCCCGGTGCCCCCATGGATCCATGGAGACGATCTTGTGCCGGTCAGACCATTGCAGGAATGGTCCAAGGTTGACCGGGGGCTCAGTGTTGGTGAAGTCAGGGCGATGGTCGATGTTTATGTCCTTGCTAGCGACAGCGAGGGCGTAGTAGATGCTATAGCAGCCGCCGTGGGCGCCGATTGCTGTGGATTTTGAACACAGGGGGGGTTAGTTCATGTATATCTAATATTCTGGTGTTCACTTGTGCAGACAGGGTTATAAAGAAATCAAAACTGCTTTTAGAGAGGCTTGGACTAACCGTTTCTTCTCTTGACAGTGCTGGGATGCCTGCTCACTACGACAGGGCCCCGCTTGATGGGATCCGGGTTCCCCCAATCCATGGCGATGGGGTTTATGCCAGATTGCCCGGGGTATGTTGTCAGGATGATACGGGACGATGCTGTCGATTTGCGAGGGGTACTGGTACCGGTACCAGCATCTAGACCCATCAACGGGCTCACACTTGTGCTGGTTGGAACTGGAGTAGACCCCTGTTCCGCCTCCACTGCATTCCCAATAGCAACGGAGGCGCTACTAGATATTGCTTGGCCACCATCGACTTTCGCTGTTATTGCATCATGATCCGCATCTGTTTCATCATCCGCAGCGGCGAAGTTGTTGCGGTGAGATGAGGATGCCAGCAGTGCAACGCGCCCCTTGATGTTCTCGACTGAGTTGGCGAGCTGGGAGTTGTCGAGTTGGATCTTTGTGAGGGCTGAGAGGATTTCACCTAGGGTGTCGTCTGGGTTTATGGAGGGGGTTGTCATTGTATAGTTATATTTTGAGGGTTTGGTGGAAAGATAATGGATGTATGTTTGTAGATGGCGGTGGTTATGGATGTGCAGATGTGTGGAATGGTGAGATGGATATCGAGCTGGTGGTACGATTCACTGGTGAATGTTAGATTTCCGCCTTCAGCTTCAGCAAGGGAGTGAGTGGTGACGGTAAGTGGTATTACATACGTGGCGGGCGTATGCGATGACTGCGGTGTGGAGCCTAAGCTTGGTGGTTGCAGCTTCTAACAGCCAGAAGATGTAGAGTGCATTATTTGAAGAGACAGTTAAAGGGTGGTTATAGATTTGAGAACAGGATAGCAGGTTAGTAAGTTAGATAGGTTTAGCTTCTGTGTTTGTTGCTGTTGTTCAAAGCACAGGACAGGTGGAGAGGGTAGAGAGGGTGGAGAGGGTAGAGAGGGTAGAGAGGGTGGAGAGGGGATCATTATCCGGGTTTATTGACCCCAGATTCGCCGTGATGTGATAGTTAAATAGAATGACGGGAACGAACTACTTAGTTCCCCAGGATCCACTCGGGCTCCAGCTCCGGCTCAGGGTTCCAAGTTTCAAGCTCTCAGTTCTAATCCGATCCACAATCAATGACATTCTTCTTGCCTTTCAAGGAATAGACACAGGAGACACAGCGTATCGGAGTTAGGTACATACATACTCTTCTTAATGTTTAATGAGTTATAAATACACTTGTATACTATTTTATCTCTTCCCGTAAACATGCTCTTCAATTAAAGTGAAGAGCTAAAACTACAACTAGTCAGCTCTAAATTAACCTACTCAGTTTAAATAACTAATGCAATTGTTACTTGCAGTTAGACAACAATAAAACTAAAAAGTTATGTCTTCTGATTTATTCAATATTAATATTTGACAATCACTTATCAGCACACTTATCTTATTTTAGATTACTCTTGAAAAGTGTCATAGATAAATAATATTAATAACAAGACTACATCTCTATTCTTATAAAAAATCCAGTATATTAATAAAATATTACTATATATATATATAACTTTTTTTAATTGTAAAATTAGCGAAAAGTCTATAAAAAATATCAATTTAAAAATATCATATCATGTCAATAATATATATTCAGAAAATATTTAATATTTAAAAAAAAATTATCAATTATTAATAAACTTCAATATAAATTTAAACTTTAAAATAATAAATAATATTGAAGTTTCTTTTAGAAAAATATTTTAAACTTTATATATAATTATAATAGTAATTTAAAAATTTTATAATGTAATTATTTAAATATTTAATAATAATGATTATTTTAATATATCCTTTATCTTAAATCTTTTTATAATATTTTAATTAAATTTTTATAAATATAGATTTTTATACTTTATATTTTTGATATTTAAAAATTATAATTAAGTTAAATAATTATTAATAATATTATCATTGTTAATTATAAATATATAATTATTTTTTAAATGTAATAGAGTATATAATTATTACTTATTATAAATAATTTTTAATTTGAAAACTATTTTTTTAAGTCAATTAATAATAATGTAGATTAGTATTTTAAATAATTTCAAAATTTAAATAAATAAATAGTGAAGAAAATAAAATATATTCTTAAATGTTTCTAGTAATTGTTACGGCTTCAATCTAAGCGCAGATGAACGGGAGTTCGATTGCCAACTAGGTAAGTTATTTCAACAAATACTAAGGTGATTTCCAAAAGAAGGGGCCTGGGAATGGATCTCCTTATATACTCATTTCCGTTAGGCGGTTACTAGGCGGTTGCTAGCAGTTTCTGTAGCCCAGTAGACAACGCCATAGACAATGACATCATAGCAATAAAGCTGCTAAATATCTGAAAAGCTAAACATACTCTGATAATCAAACTGAGCATTAAAATAGCTACAGTAGATAAATGATTGCTCACTTAGATATTTGTTTTAGAAAAAAATCTAATAACTCATATTGCTCAATGATTAATATTACAAATATGTTATCAAATACAGCTTTAGCACTTCTTTTAAAACAAAAAATGAATTTATTATTATTATTATTATTATTCATTTGAGGTGTATAAAGTCAATGACTATGACATTTTAGTTATACTAGATTTTGATTATCTTATAAATTTAGTATATACACATATAATTTAGAACATATGTTATATACTTTTATTTTAGAATAATACAATAATAGATATATTATAAAAATCATTGTTATACATATTAAATTTAATAAAAATTTATAAAAATAGAAAGAACAGATGAAAATAAAAATTAAATAGTAAAAGAAAACAATATAACTAGTAGGAAAAATAATTGTGTTAAAATTTCAGAAAAAAAAAACCTTCATACTTTTATTATTAATAATAAAATTATAATAAAGAAATCAATAATAATATATGTATATATATATCAATAAACTAATGATAGAGAGTGTAATAATAATAATAAAAATATTTAAAATGAGATGATTCTCAAACTTTGATATTTATTAATAGTATAAATTAAATAAAGATTTTATTTAATTTTAAAAACTATTCTGTAGAGATAGTTTTTATTTTCTCAATATAATCAATTAAAAACTTTATTCTCAGTTCAATTTTAAAAAGAAATAGTATATTTAACTGATATATATTTTTTCTTTAATTTCTTTCTAACATCATTATTTAATGAACATTTCATTATAATATGATTTATATTTTCAACTAAAATATAGAAAATATATTTATTTGAGCTTGTGAAATCTTTAATTCTTTTTCAATAAAATTTAAAATAGTCATGTTCAACTTTCAATTTATTATAGAAAAGAAAGATTTATTCTTATACATTATTGAAAAAAAGCTTTATTTAAACTTACATCTCATATTTTATATACTGAACAACTCTCTTTTTTTCTTAAACTCAGTTCATTTAATGACATAGAGTTCTTTTATCTTTCTCTTCATGTAAGTTTAAAAAATAAATTTTGTATTATTTTTCAAGTTTCAATATTATTTTTTGCTATCAAATCTGCTATCTTATTTTTTAAATATTGATATTTAAAATAAGTAAATCTGAATGTCTTTGTCTGCAATTTTAATTTTTTTTACTGTTTTTTAAATCTTATATTTTTTGTTTTTCAACTGCTGCTTGACTGTCTATAAAGATTCATTTATTTTTAATGATAGTTTCTAAAAACAAGTTTATAAACTACTGTAAATACTTTTTAAAATTGTAAATAACTTAGCATTGAATATTTTATATACCTTTTCAAAATGTACTATACAATACCCATGATTCTGCAATGGGTGTCCAGCACCCATTTTCTTCTTAATTGGACTATTGAAAATCCTTTTCGTTGCCTTTAGCAATGCCTCTTTATCACCCATGATCCGTCGTCCATCGATATCCTGCAGGTCCAGATAGAAGAAGAACGACGACGACTGGCAGCAGCGAAGAAGCTTCTGAACCTCTTTGGGCTCCTGGGAGAGGAGGCGCGAGTGATTCATGCTCTCGAGGGAGCAGACGGGGACTTGCTTTCCCTTGTGCTGGATGGAGATGGAGGGGGGCTAGGTGATGACGCCCATCGTGGAGTTTTGGTCGGGCGAGGAGTGAATTGGAGAGATGAAGCCTGCTGCAAAGGGTTTGAAGATACGGGAAATTTTGTATGATGGGGGAGAGGCGATGGGGCTTCGTGCGGGAGGTTCCAAGCCCTATGTAGTTATATGGGATCTCGCATTCAGCAAATTCAGGCCTTCCTTGCGTAACCCCATATTTGAACGGACATATATGCTGTGTTACAGCCCAAGTTCTGATCTATTTGTATTTCAGCGAGCGGGGGACGGTCATCCCAAAAAAGTTAGAGAGGGTGTCGTTGTCATTGTCGTTGTTGATATATATTTTTTGATTATATGCAGTCAGAAACTGTGATGGAGAGCGTGTCCTGCATGAGAGCATGCTCGCCGTTGCCATAGGATCCCGAGGATATTTGACTCCCCTCAGATGTTTGGACTTCCTTTTAGGAAATTTCTCATTCTGGCATTTGCAGGGTTTTTGTTGTGATATATGTCGTTGAATTGTGATTATGATTGGAGCAGTCGAGAGGCTAAGGGGGGGATGGAGGAATAGGGTGAAATTATGAAGAAAACCCTTTATGAAATGGAGATAATCAGCTTTGGCGCCGGAAGTGGATGAGAGATATTGACAAGGAATCTAGAAATTCCTGGACACATCTACGCGTATCAGTGTCGGAGGGGAAGGAGGAACAGTCTGAAGGGTGCGTTGTCCACCTTTGTGTCCGTATTACCAAATCCCCCTGGTTTTTCATTGGCCTCATCAACTGTCCAAATACTCTTCGCATGGGCATCGCAGAGTCCTACCGTTGCAAATTATCGGATACCGACATGGCCTATCTCGGTAAACGGCTCTAAGGTAGTACCCATCCAAGTGGGCTGAAGAGATTGGGCAAGGATAGATATGACGTGAGATGATATTACTTCGAATCTACATTTAATATTGGGCAAATGACGTTAACGTCTCCCGAGGTTGAAGAAAGATTGCAGGTCTGAATGATGTAACACAGAGACATGATCGTAGTCAAATGTGACGCAGAGGAAACGAAAGTAGGGTGCATTTATCAGGGAAAAATGGGATAGTAACAATATGCATGCACCTCTCCCGAGACTCGGGAAGCGTTTTTGCGAGAGGGAACCTGGAATCAACGTTTCTTTTTTACCCGGCGAAATACCCGGTCTCGCCACTCTGCGTGAGATATCAGCGTCAAAACATCCCTGATGGCATCTCAAGTATTTCTGCCGGAGGGTTGTAGCACGTTGTTTCGTGATGCCGCTCCCCTGCAAGGGTTAAAAACCCGCAATTGTCAGCTAACAAATTATCTCACATACTAAGCAATTCCGCAAGCAGCCAGACGGACAGTGCATCAGTGCATCTTCGGGGCGGTTGACCTGTATGTTACGCGGCTATGAAGTACGGCTTCTCCCCAATTAACTTCTGGTTATGGACTTTGTGAAGGGCTCTCTACCCCTCTTCCCCTCTTCATCTTTCCAGGGTGAGAGGCGGAATTGCCTTCTCGCGCTTGTATTATGGCCGAATCATCAGCTGCAGAGAAATCCCCCTCAGATATTATTCTCGGTTCACATTCTGCTGATGTCGTGCACTTCAATGGATCTGATGACCCTTTCAACCCCGCCAACTGGCCATTTCCCAAAAAATTCGTTACCAGTGCGCTTTACGGCTTGATGAGTTTCGGATCTGTCTGGGCTTGTGCTATGTAAGGGATTTGTTTTCCCATGGCATTCAAGAAGTTATCAAGATTAGTTGTGAAGTTCGTACTATAACTATTGCGATATGCAGATATGCCTCTAGCAACAGCCAGATCGCAGCTGAATTCCATGTCTCCCCTGTAATTGGAACAAGTCTCCTTAATTTTGGGGTACGTGAGATCGCTTGTAGAGGAGCCAGCACCGCGACTGCAAAGGATATCCAGACCGTCCTTGTTACCCAGTTTTTTCACAGGATTCTTTGGATCGGCACCCATTACATGTACGGAGGAGTGTAGTTGTTGATATCTTGGATATACCGCAACAAGGCAATACTTTTGTTGGCTATACACTTGTTGTCTGCGGTAGGCCGGTATTTTTGAAAGCACATAGGCCTCAAAGGAGGAGGGGGAGGAGAGAGAGAGCCATCAGCAGCTTTGACAAGGATGTATGAGACATCGAGACATCAAGGCACTTGTGCCCGCTTTGTTGGCGGCGCGATGATCTATCGTGGTGTTAATTGGAGATTGGGCGACGTATGTGAGTTCTAGTCATTCTTTCGATAGTTAGTTCATCAGATGTTTCAGTTAGTTTCACCATCCTCGACAACGGGATTCTACAAATCCTTATACTACCCCGCGATCCCACTGGCAACCCCTCATTGCACGCGGAATGGAAAGAAAACACCATCTCGGTCAAAGAACTAATAGTTAACGATCAAATTTGGCCTGCGCCCCCTTCAGCTGCTAATGACACCAATCTGCTTCGCCATCACCGTCTTACGTTTCATTCATCTACAGCGTATTCGACGCCAGCCTCGTATCTTTCCCTGTCATCTTCTCGTAAACTCGGGGCTGGAACTGGCTTCTCGCACTCCTAATAAGTCTGAAACTGGGTGGAATCGTCAGCCTTTGAAACCAGACCTACTACAACAACGCATGCAGCGCAAATGGAAATAAATCCGTCCCAGAAGTGCATCTGGTATCTATGATGATAGCATCTGTTATCTTCACTGTGAGGTCTCTTCGTCATCAATTGAATCTCACAAGAAGATTTACCACGGATAGCTACCATGATAAGACGACGCTTTTCTGATGGGATTCGGTTTCCACACGCTATTCACCAGCTCATTAAACTATCTATCTCATCGACACACTTTCCCGCGGTGGAGCGCCAGCGCTGGCTACTCAGACCTTTTACTCACAGTATCTCTTCCGCTGCATTCCCGCTTGTTGTGCCGCCCGATGTATAAGGCGGCTGGGGGAATGAGTGGGCGTTTAGCATGTTTGGCGCTTTTGCGGTGATGAATGTTTCTCTTCCGTTTGCCTTTTGGTTTTATGGGGCGAAGGCTAGGGGAAGTGGGGAGGTTTGCTGATAGTTACAGTGAGTGGGTGATGGTCTGTCGGAATGTTGGCATTGACCGAGCGGAGCAAAATAATCCCTCGTCCGTAAGTTCATGCTCAATTAGCGTGGTTTCATTTAGTGTATGGAATTTTGCACCGGCGCCATTCAGTAACCAGTAAGATCCCATGTAATTGTGTATGGATGGTAATTGGTCTTTTAAATCCACTGATTCGCGATGCGATTCCTCATTGGGCTGGCAGATGACGTAAGGAATTCAACGTGTTTTGAAGCTGCCCAACCTGCCTGCCTCTCAGTGCCTTCTCTTCATCATGAAATCCATCCAAAAAACCTTATCAAACCCAGTGGTTATACTCCATATAAAAATTAAATCTTATGGGCCAGCTAATTAATTTATTCTCCAGGTCATACACAAACACCTAAGAGATGAAAAAAATGAGCAATTGAGGATATCATTGCAGAGATTCCATCTTTGGAGTCAGTAAAATTCCATCCAATGCAGCCTCTTTTGTGAGATTCAGTTCTCAATCTTCCCTGTCAATTTTGATATTGATAGTCTCTACGCTCTATTTACCTTATTTTTCTCTGAGGAAAGCTTTCAAAATATCAGTAATTCCATTAATCTCTTTGCAAAATTGAAAAGAGATGATGGAGACACTGATAAATGAAGCTCCGGAGCTCTCTGAGGCAGAAGTTGATATAGAATCAACTTCATTATTACCTGAAAATCAAGAATCTTCAACTACAGCTTCTACCACAAACCTTCTTTTCACCAACGATCTTTCAAAAATACCAATGTGGCGGAAATAAAGGTTTTTATGGGCCTTCTTCTCTATATGAGAGCTCATAGATCCTGTCGGACTGATCTATATTGGAGGAATAATCTGGAACAAGGCCCTATTCATTCCATACAAAAATATATGAGTTGCACCCGTTTCGAGCAAATAAAGTGGTATATTCACATATCAAATCCCCGTGAGGCATGCCGGCCGGAAACCCCAAAATAGGGTATAAGGTAGAGTCATTAGCCACAGAATTCCATACTGCCTGCTGAAAATATTACACACATGGTTCAAAGATTTCAGTGGATGAGATCGTGATTAAATGCTTTGGGCGAAGTCAACATACCTATACAATGCCTAATAAACCAATTCCGCGGGGTTAAGATTACCACGGTACGAAAATAAACACGATGGACGCTCGTGCGTGCATGCGCATTCATAAAGAGGTTATGTCACTGCGCTGATATCAACACAGATGTCCTTGAAAAGTTGTCAGAGCGTTAAATATGAAAAATGCCCCTGCCCGAATATGGATGTGTATAGGATGGAATCTGTCGGTGAACACGTAGTGCCTTTTTGTAACTTATCGGCGTTCTGCTTATGTGCAGTAACATCATCAAAACATAACAAATGTCTGACCGAAACTAGCGAACTCGCAAAAAGAAAAGAAAAATATTTCAATATATTTGGCCAAATAAAATCCCCCGTTAATAAAAGCGGCGAAAACAAAGCTGGAAAATTTTTGCATAGGTAGATGGTAACGGGGTTGAGTTAAGTGAAAAGAAAAGGGAGACATAGAATATACAAACAAAAATATATTCAGTAATTACAATTATCTCCGCTCTTTTTCCTTTTTCTGCTCTTTCTTCAGTTCCGGATTTGGATTAGGTTTCGGCTGCTGTGTTGGTTTTGGCGGCGGCTTACAGATCATTTCCTTTGCGTAGGCGTTGTACCGAGAGAGTAAATCCGTCGACGTGAGGTTGGCTTGATGCATAAAGTTAAAATGCGCAGCGAGAGCGCGGCCCTCAACCAGGACATCTGTGTATATGATAGCATTAGTTTCTTGTTCCCGAATTCGTCAGAGGAGATCCAAAAGAGTGAAAATCTTGTGGAAACATATTTCGTTTCTCTCTTTTTTTAAGGACCAAAAAGGCAGGGAACTCACGTCTCTGCAACTTCTTCGGCAAATCCAGAACAATCATATCTTCATCCCCTCTATTATCCGGCCAATGTTCCACATCGGTATCCAAAACATCATCTCCTAAAATGGCAAGGCAGTTAATCCGAATTCGTTGCCCCTGCATATTCCAAGGCGGTTGGAACTTATACAGATGCGTTGTATTACGTTCTATATTCTCCAGCAGAGAGTAATGCTGTTGCGCAGCAATTGCCCAACTTTCATACGTCGGGCCCCAAAAGTCATACGTCAGTTTCGCGACGGGGGTGCGACAGAGGCTCTTGTCGTCTTTGAGGCGGAGCCAGCGATGCGTGTTGCCAGATGGTGGCTTTTCGTCTAACGCCCATTCGAAGTCAGACTTGCCGGCCCAGAAGGGGTGGCTGGACGGGCGCCAGTTTTGCAAATCACTGCGGTTCTTGTGGGTGGCGTGTTCTTCCAGCTCCGGGAAGAATGGGTGCAGCGCGCCTAGATGGAAATGGAGGAAGCTGAGTGGGGGTCCGTTGATCACGTTGGCGGAGACGGCGAAGTTATCTGGGTTTGCTAGTTTGGTGGTGACCATGTGTGGGATGGCGTCGTCGGCGAGCCAGACCTGGTTGATTATTGTAAGCGATGAGATTTGGAGAATTAATGAGTGAGAGTGAGACTGCGGGCCGTGTACGGGGCTGGGACTGAAAATGGGAATCATTCTTAGAGTAAGGGCAGGGGAAGGAGGCGTACAATATCATCATCGATCTTCACATAAACTGTACCCCTTTTCACCACCCTCCACAGTTTTGCATAGTCGGGCCACCCGACAGTTTTGTCCAGGGGGATTTTCTTGTAACGCGGGGACCGCTTAAGTATTTCATCGAGATAGGCGAGATCCTCTTTGTTCTTTGTGTTGGCGAACCAAAGCACTTCATCCAGCCAACCGCCATTCTCTACTAGATTTCTCTAGTCAAATTTATCAGCGATATGAAAGAATTAATGAAAAGAAGAGAAGAAGAAATCGATGGTATATTTCGTGGAGAGAGCCGATGAAAGTATAAGAGAAAACCAAAACTAACCTCAACATAACAATGCATCGACTCGACCCGACTGCGTCGTCCATAGAATACCATGCCTGTGATATTGACGTTTGTAGGTTTAACAAGGACCTCTCCATGTTGTGCATGTTGCGGTTGCTGCTGAACCGGCCAATAACTATTACCATCAGGTTTCCGCCCGCCTGCAGAGGTATATCTCGTCCATGGTCGGTGGTCCAGCGACTGCGATAACTTGACCAAGCCCAGTATAATGGTGATGGAGATGAAAGCGAAAACTGCAGGCCTACTGCGTAATACCTGTAGTGAGACCATGGAAGTGAAGTTCCTTTTGCTGCCACCATGCGTTACGCAGCTCCTTGCTGGGTGGGAAGTGGAGAAGCTACGTAAGAATAACCGCAGTGACAACGAATACACAATACAAAAAAGAAGAGAAGAAGAAGGAAAAGAAGGAAAAGAGCTTTCAATTTATGAGTGACCGATCTCCACTCGATAAGAGTGTTGGGAGTGCGATTACACAGAGATGATGCCTGTGTTAACAATCTTGGTAGGAAGAGGAAGAATGAATGAAAAGAGGGCGTCAGCCCAGGGAAGAAAACTTCCAAGAGAGAAGGAAAAAAAAGAAAAGAAAAACGCCCATTTCCCATTTTTTTGTTTCATCTAGGTGCTCCCCCAAGCCTTCTGATCTGCCGCATGGCTTGTCCCGTTCAACAGGCAAGTTGGATTTTTTAGAGGCCGGCTGCCTGTGGCACCCAGTAGCCTGTGTTTATTTCTGATAGGGGTGATAGAGTTCTTCTAAAAAGTGGGCCCGATTTTTATGCTAAGTTTAACTCTTTTTAACCACGTCCAGCTGCAGTTCAGATGCGGGTATATGAACTCCCCGTCTCTCAAACAGTCGGCGGGTTGAAAAAAGGGTCTTAGTTCAAAGAAGCCTTAAGCTGGCACACTCGGATATCTTGTCTCAGAATGTCTGTGTCCACTTTGAGGGAAACAAGACACAAGCTGCTTTCACCCATGGGCCTGACACTTTTGAAACCCAAGGTCAAATACTGCTGCTGCTCATTGGAAATTAGTTTGTGGGTTAGCCATCTTGTGATAGAGTTGAATGTTTAGCCTCTCTGCACCTGGCGCTAGTTTGGAAATGCTGATTCCTCAGGGATCATTAAGCGAGCGGATCACCCTAAACACCAGTTTCGAATTCTGCCAACCGACTAGATTGTCGCCTGAAAATATCCACCGTCAGCAGCAAGCTAGTTAATGATTGGAATTAAATTGCACTTGGTTCAGGACACCGTATTCTAGCATGCGTGGCCTACGCTCTGCTGGCGGGGGTGAGGAGGGGTTGAATAGCAAACAGCATGTTCAGTCGCTTCTCCTCTAGTGAAATCTCTGTCATGCTGAATTTGACAGCTAGATCTCTTTGTATATTTCTAATTCTTCTTTCTCATTTACAGCAAAATGTATTCTGATACTGCTTCCTTTTTAATAGTGATAGTGATTATCTTTACATTCGCAGATTTTAAGAATTAATCTAGAT